ATGTTTGTTGTAGCAAAGCATACTTGCATTAAAAGTGCCATTATACCTATGGAATAAGTAGGGAATAGTAATATATTAAGGCCCTATTTGGCATATGGTTTTGATTTTTAAGAGATTGAGAATAGGATTGGAAGTGAGATTGGGAGTGATAGTGAATTTTAAAATTGTGTTTGGTATGATAGAGGATTGAAAAAAAAAAAACAAGACTTAGATTTATCCCAAAAAATAGCAAAAAATAATGTTGCCCTAATCTTTTTCTTCTTCATTCTCTCCTTTTGTACCTGCTATCCAGGTTCTTCAACATCGTCATTTTTTTGGTTGAAAGTAGGGATGCTTTTGATGAACCCAAATTCTTCTTCTTCATCATTCTTCTCAAAAGTGGGAATCATTTTGATGAACCCAAATTCCATCGTTACTCATATTCATCCTCCTCAGCCACTACCTTCATCGCCATCGACCTCGCTAGATTTGGACTAGGAGGTAAAGGGTTCGGTCAAGCAAATCGAGACCAAGGAGGGAGAGGGGTCACGATCGAACTCACCAAATCTAAACTTGCATATCCAAATTCGAACAAATATAGGGACATCGACACAAAAGAGCTTACCAAATTTGATCTTTCAAGACGTTAATGATGAGAACGAACATGGAGTGGAGAGCATACACTATTCATGCTTCACTCAAAGAAGGAGTTAAGGACACCGATCCATCAAGGAGTGATAGCAACACGAGGATAGCCAATAAACAAGACAGCAAATTGGTTTGAAATTATGTAGTCCCAAGACTAATTCCCAATACTAGGGGCGGTGGTATTGGGTAATTTCCTATAGATGGGATTGAAATTGGGATTAAATCTTCCATTGCCTCATACCAAATATGAAAAATTGGTATTAGCCAATCCCAATGCTAGTCTCACTTTATTAATCTAGCATACCAAACATGACCTAAAGTACCTTTCCATGTGCCATCAATATTTAAGCAAATCACTTCTTTGATTGGTTGTAGATTCAATGGGGAAATGTTATTCTATGTACATCACCAATAGCTTTGAACTCGCCATGATTAAGTTTAATCATAATCTTCGATCTTTGAGACTTGTTAACTTTTTCTTTTTTCACTCCTGCTTTAATTCAAGATTAAAGCATTGCAAGTTTAATTTTTGAATGGAATCAAATGTTGGTAACTTATTTGCAAGCTTAGAATGAAATTAAATTGTTAGTTTATCTACATATTACTTTCTTCCTGGGTAATTCACACTAATAGCTATGTAACAATTCTTATCTTAATTACCCTAATCGAATGTATCTGCAACAATTGAATGCATACTAATTTCACCTTAAACCTGCTTAATCCTACTTATTACCTCTAAATGGATGCATGCCAGTACTTTGTTTTATCTAATCTTTTGTAAATGAACTCTTTTCACATATGAATTCATACTAATTTTAGTTTCAAGTTTCAAAGTTCAAACATACATCACCAATTGTCAATTATCACTTTAAAAATTTTGGCAATACTCATATCAATTAAAATATAATTTTAAAAAAATATAAATTTCAAAATAAAAATATGATTTCTAAACACTGATATTAATTGTAAATTTATTTTATTAAATATTTATAAACTCCTGCAATTAATTTAATCTAAAAAATTATATATATACTAAATTAATACATCTTAACTATAAAAATAAATGCAGAATAAGAAAAGAGAACTCACAATCTTAAAAAATTTAATAATCATATATATATATATATATATATTTTATGTGGTATGAAAAAGTAAGATATATTAAATCTTTTCGTGCCACGCTGATGAGTGTATGCGCACCGCAAGGGAAAAAAATCTAAAATCTAATTAAGTTAATGACAAAATTTTGCCATGTAGCTGGACAATTTTTGGTGTCATATAACGATGCAAATTATATATATATATATATATATATATAAAACAGATGATATAATTTGTGCATTAAATGAAGACCGAAGAATGAGTCTTATTGATATATTTCCTCCTCTTTTCACATGCTTTAAGGCAAAAAAAAAAAAACTATTATTCCTTGTATTAAAATTCAAGTAAATTTTAATTAATACATACAGTTTTAAAAAATTATTTAAATATAATAATTTTTTTAAATTTAAAAATTTAAACTAAATTTCTCTTTTATCTTTTGACAATAAATTTTGATTTTATGATGGATAATTTAATAAAAATATAATAAATGTTTCTTGACTTTTTTAATTTTGCTTATAAAAAAGAAGTTGAAATATTCTTTTAATCCTTTAATTTTATGCAAAGTTAAATTTTAGTCCTTTAATTTTATAAAATATATTTTTAATATATTAATCCTAACACTATTAATTTTATTATAAACATTTTTTACATTAAACTTTTAAATATTAAAAAATTATTTTTAAATATAATTTATTTTTTAAAAAAATAAATGTAATTAACATAAAAAATAATCATTTAAAATTAAAAATATTGGAATTAAAAAATTAAAAATATATTTTATAAAATTAAAGAACCAACTTAAAAGTTGGTTCATCTTAACTAAATATTTCGAGTTTGAATTTTTAATATGCAACAATAATTGAATTTTTTATAAGATGTATGTCTCACATAGAAAGTGCCCCCAATTACTCATCGGAATAAACAGATCAGAGACGATTCACACACCCATATGCCAATACAGGGTTCGAAACTGGGAGCTGACGCTCGAAGAGACGTGAAATTGCCATTGAGACAGTTGACTATTAGAAGTCTTCGTTGATGACAACAGAAATTTATGCCACCAACAAGGACGTGACTTTGAAAATACGAACTTGCCCTTGGTGGCAAGAATGCCGTGAAATAAACGGAAGTAGTGGCAAAGTCAAGTTGACCAGCTGGTGCTCAATTGTCAAAATTGGCAGCCATCAATGGTTTGAACGAAGTGGAGAGGTCATATAAAAAGAAAAATATCCAATTGGAGAGAAAAAGAGCGATGCTCATAATTACTTTCACACATATCTTGTTTTTTCTTTTCTTTCTTTGTTTTTTTTTTAATAAAAAGCCTCGTTTGGGAGAAATATATTCAGTCGTGATAACTTAAAAGAAAATTTAACCTTGACCGTTTGAGAGAAATATTGGAAAAATCAGTCTCATCTTCTATGCAAGCAATCTAAATAAATAAATAAATAAAAATCTTATGAAATAATAAAATTATTATGAAGTCTCATGTGTTTTACATTTGAAGTTGTTAATTATTATTGGATAGTTATTAATTATTGTTACTTAATCGTTAATTGAACAATTCCATGATCAACTGTATAGGAATAATCGAATATTTCAGTATACTTTTTCGGTCTCTATTATAATTGTAAGGCATTTTTTAGAATGACTTTTTAGTTATTAATATAAAACATTTGATGTGATATCAATTACGTTTTTCAACAATATCTTTATTTAAATTTATTAATTATAAAAAAAATATGATGAAAATTTAAAAAGCTTTCATTTAAATAAAAATAAAATTGAATATTTATTTTATTTTTAGAAAAATTTAATAATTTAACAGCTTGGTGCTTTATAATATGAATTAGAGAGAGTCACAAGTTATAATTAGAGTAAAGGACATAAAACTTCAAAATAATTTTATGCATTTTATTAAATTTTTTATTTAAATTACTTTTATGGGACTTAAAAATAATTTTTTTTCATAAATAAATCTAGCCATGATGGCTTCAGAAGAAAAATGGAACCTTTGAGCATTGACTTGTAATATGCACTAAGGACGACCTTGACTATAACGTTTAATTAATATATTATTTATTAGTGACTCTGGAAGTTACGTTCCATCATCCCGCCATCAATTATTACACAGATATTTGGGGCAATAATTACAAAAAAGAATTCGCAATTTGTGCTTTTGACAAGGTCATAAATAGAAAAAAAAAAATTTGGAACTTGAAACAGAAGTTCTATACCTTGAAGTTCACTCGCAAAACTGATTTTGTGTGAGCTAAATAATTGTCGATGTGTGAGATAATTAAGGTTACATGTAAAATATTAGTAATTAGGAGATCACCATGAAATATAAAATGAAAAACTACAAAACGTCCTCAAATTTTTAGATGACTCTGAAATCTGAATATTGGCTTTGCTACTAGGCTTATATGTATAATTAGTAAAGGTCAGTCTAAAGGAGTAAGGCTGGACACACACACACACACACACATATATTATTGGTTCAAAAATTATTTATTTTTATTTATTCAAGGAGAGAATGTCATTAAAAACATAACTTTGTGGAGCTCATATCTTATTTTCACATTTATCTTTACCCCCCCTTAAAATATATATGACTTCATTTATGCGAATGTAAGAATATTGCATGACAGGTGTGTTTCTTCCTTCCTTTCTTCGTAGAGAACTTGGATGCTCAATGCAACGTAGCAAGTTTATGTGTATATTTTCTCTTTAATATGATTATTTAGTGTCCAATAATATTGGATAATATTTAAATATTGTTAGGCTTACCAATTAAATGTTGGGATGAGTGATAAGGATTGTAACATCTTAATCAAGTAATTGGAAGCACGATTCTCAATTCTTGTGAATGGAGGAAGCCTTATTGGATAATATCTTTTGTTCTCTCTATCTTGAGAGATATTATTCTCTACTATCAGCGTAGGATAATGTCTCACAAAAAAAAAAAAAAAGGGAATCAAACAAGGGCAACTTTCTAAATGTGAATTTATATTTGCATAATTTGAACCCACAAAAACGTATTGAATCCCTTCTACTTGACCTAGCTAATATTAGTTACTATTTTGTTTCTGGCAAGATGGTCATGAGATGGTTTGAACATAAGATTTTTTTAATGAATGCATTGATTTCAGGATTCTGCCTTACTTCAAACAATCTCTTTAGAAAAAGCAAACACTCTTAGATACTTTCTAGATGGTCAATCAATGCAAAACTATCAAGCTGATCAGCTTTTCATGGAATTCAACCAAAAGTATTAAAAAGCTAAAAGAGTTTCCATTACTTGCATATACAAGTCTACATTGATTTTGAGGGCCAAAAAAGAGGAGTCCATATTAACTTTGACACTTGGGAATTTAGCATATTTTGACTGGGTTTTCTGGGTACTAAAGTGTAAAGAATTAATAATACAACAAAACAAAAAACTATACAGACAGAAAACAAGGCAGGAACGGAAAACCCCTAGTCAAAAGTACAGTAACAGACTCATGGGAAAAGAGGAGTGAAAAAAAAAACTAAACAAATTCAAAGATGGCTTTGACACTTAATAATATACTTATGAATAATCAGCTTTAAACATTTATCTTGACATTATATCATCCTTCTTGACAGTAAAGTCCCACAGGTCCCCATATTTCTCATTGAAGTCCCATATGTCCATGGTATTATAGTCATTTATCAACTTGTCTCGAGCTCCCCTTTCCATATTGTATATCTCGGGTTCAAAGTGGTGGGGTTTATCAGGTTTATCCATCTCAATAATGCAAAATATTGTTATGAATAAACCTGTTGCGATGTATAAGTACTCCCCCTGAAATGAAAGACAGATGATGAATAAGATTATTTCTAAGTGAAATAAATTGCAAAAGTACTTGTTATTCCCAAGCAGGGTGGCCATTGATTCGATTATTTAACACTTTATGAAGCGCCTAATTGAATTTAAAATTACCGGAACATGGAAGAAAATCCCAGCAGCAATGGCTGGAGGATAAAGCCATGAAATAAGCCCTGCAAGGAAATGCAAACAAAAGATCGTGGCTGAACATGCTTGGATTTTGAAACGGAAAGAACTTGAATGTGGTTCTTAGGTGTTTTATTCATAAGTTGTTTGATGATGTTATAATATACAAATGAACTTCTTTTTTTTTTTTTTTTTTTAAAGGAACTTAACCAAATATTTTGTAATTTGTAAATTACCGGAGACTAGGGGAATCGTACCTTGAAATCCTGTTGGTGGTTCTGCTGCTGCTATCTCTTCAGCAAGTAAACCCCAAAATGTTCCTGAAATGAGCATTTATTAGTTAGCCATAAAAAGGTGCCTTCAATCAGGAACACGTCTTTGATGAGATCCTATGTGGCATCCTAGGTGGCATACCAAGTCATCAATACATGCAATGCCTAGTCATTAAAGTAGAGGAAAGCCTAAGGAAAGAAATCCAGATCCAAGAGGCTATAATGTGTATTTGGAACCCAATTCACAACATTGAAAGCCCAATACACAAATATACACTTGATGTATTATTATCATGTAATGTACCTCATAAAATATTACCCATGCCATTTTCCACCCTTAACGGAAATTGCTCGTTTCCTCAATCCAGGAGCACTTTTCCGATGATGTATTATAATGAAGTAATGTTCCTCTTTAATATTAGCCATGCCATTTTCAACTGTCTTTAACACCGATTTCTGCTCTGAACCAGAATCAATTAGTTTCCTACATTCTTCCTATTTTAGGTCCAATTCCCAGTGCTTGACTTAACTATCTTAGTTAATTATTTGCTTTCATCCTTAACTAATAAAATCTTTCCATAATACATTTCAAGGAATCGATCCTGATGCACAGAATTAAAAATAAAAAAAAAAAAAGCATGAATGAAGATTCAGTAATACTCAGACCCAGATCAAAGTGCTACTGGGATCTTGAAGTTTTGGTTGAACTTAATTCCGTAGTCAACATCAGCTAGTCCCCTTAAAAATTTGTATTCACATAATTTGCATAGCATTCTAAGATTAGAGTTTACCATGAAAGTATATCAACTAGACCCAAACGCGTAGTTTTTTTTTTTATTTTTAAAAATCAAATGTCTGAATCAACTGTCACGAAGCTACTATCCTTCATCAACCATATTCATCAGTACCTAGGAAGCATCAGATCACACGAACTGGGCGCCAAAGAAAAATTTGACTCCCTCAAAAGTCATAAGTGATTTGAAGTGACACAACGTCGGTATATCACTTATTCCCAATTCTTTATAGTACAAAAAGAAAGGTTTTGTAAACAACAAAGCACGGAAATATTTAGTAGATTAGCCAACAAAATAGTAAACATTACTAAAAAAAACTCTCGTACCTTTCTTTTCTCCTTCAAAATAAGTATGGTGCCCATCATACTCTCCGTACTTGAAATCTTCCTGCAATATTTCAACAATACAAATCAAACCTATAACAAGATAATCCCAATTCCCATTAATCACTCACAATGTGCTCTATTCACAATGTAGAGAGAAAAATTGTAAACTATAACATACAGAGCTAATGCTATTAGTTTCCCAACGATCTACGGGTTCTTCATTGAGATCGGGCTCGATCTCAGCGAAACCCGCAGCATTCAGCCTCGTCGACGAGCTGCTTCGAGTTCTCAAAGCTTCATGCAATTTGAGAGGTGCAGGAACTGATACAGATTTAGGGTTGAAGTAAGAGAAAGTAAAGTTGGGAATTGAATTTGCAGAGAGAACTGAGAGTGAAGAACGAAGCGCCATGCTTGTGCGCGTTGTTCATTATCTTCTCTCTGTTATCCGTTATGGTGGGCTTTAAATTGCTGATCTTCGTAATTCTATTATTCTACTACCATGGCAAAAAACCAAAAAATGTGGACACGCGGCAGCTCATGGCTCGTCACCGCACTTTTCTTTTTTATAAAAACAAAAAATATAAATATAAATTCCTACCATTTACACAAATTTTATTATAAATTTTTATATTTTTTTATTAATATTTTAAATTTTATTTTTTAATATTCTAAGTTCTTTTAAGAGTAATATTATAAAAATTTAAAATATTAAAAAATAAAAATTTAAAAATTTAAAAAATACAAAAATACAAAAATTTAGGATAAAACTCGGGCGAATTACAAGATTTAAGGTTATGTTTTTCAAAAAAAAAAAAACAAAGACTAATTGCTTTGGCTACAAATTAACTTTTTTGCTAGAGATATTCCAGGATATTAGGTATTTTTTAATTATAAATTTTAATGTATTAATAATATTAATAATAAGAGTTTGTTATGAAAAAATAATTTATAAAAAATATATATGTCTTGGTGTAATTAAAAATAAGCACTTTAAGTATATAAAATTTAATTTTATATTTATTCTATTTAAAAGTATAATTAAAAAGATATACAACTTTTTTAGAAATTTAAGATTTTAATTATTTTTTAAACTTATGAAGTAAATACCAATGCATTGCACTCTCTCTTGTCTTATTTATAAAGTAAAATGAGAATGATTATTTTAATTCTATTTATAAGTCATGTCATTAATATTTTATTATAAGGTTTTTTTATCTTCCATTAAATATTGGTAAGAGAAAATTTATAATTAAAATTTAATAAGACAATTGACAGCTTATTAAGTCCACATACATACAATTAACAAATTTTAATTTTTTATCTTAATAAAAAAAGTGACTTATAAATAGAATTTAATAAAGTATTATGCATTGGAAGGAGTATTTAATAAGAAGCATTTTAGTTAAAAAATAATTTATCTTCTATTTTGAATGAAAAATCAAAACATACTCTTATAGTTAGCCAACATGGGAGAGAAGTCGCTCCATTTTTTTGATCATTATGTTTTCTTTACTTCTTAATCATAACCATTGATATCATTTTATTAAATAAATTTGTTTTAGAATAGATTTAATAATAATCATGATTAAAAAGTGGACGAAAAATGATGGTGAAAAGATGGAGATACCTCTCCCCTTATTTAACCTTGTATATATCAATTTCTATATTTTATTATTTATTGAATTTTGATTTTTTTACTTAGAAAAAATGTACATAAATCCTGATTCTGTCAAAAGAAAAGTTTATTATCAAATTCAAAAGCCTTCTTTTTGTATCGTTCATTTTTTTTCCTTAAAAATATTTTTAAAACATTTTTTTAATATTTTATCATTTCTTTAATGAAAATTTGTGTGTCTCAACTCTGCTAAAGCCTGAAGTATGGATCACATCATAAATCCATATATGCAATGAAATTTACGTTATATAGGTCCTGGAAAAGGGAGGAATAGTGGTATTGGAGAGTGGATTTATGGAGCTGGAAGATTCTAGCAAGTTCAATTACTTTATATGCTACATTTCTTTTCTTTCTTCCTTGTTAATATGTTTTTGGTCATGTAATTTTTCAGTAGAAGCTTCTTTGTTGTTTTAGCCTGAACAATTCAGAAGCTGGTCCACATATGGATATGCAACTAGGGATGGATGCAAAGATCGAGGAAGAATATGCTTACCAGTCTAACTTACTCCAAGAATTCAAAAATATCTCCAACATAGACAAGGCACGGATTTTTAAGTCAGACAGCTGTAAGTATCCTTTATCATCTTTTTTTTTTTCTTCCTCCACCCTTCTTGTAGCATTCATGATATTTGTGGTGATATTTCTATAATATTTTTGCATAGCATTGAGCTCTCAGGGAATGTTTTGTATTAGCCAGCCAAATCTTGTGGAAAACAAGAGAAGGAAGTTCATTCTATCCTGTACCATATTCAAAGAGAGCAACAGTTCTGTAAAATTTCAATGGGCTCCATTTCCCATAGAGATGTCTGGGGTTTCTATAATTATTCCATCCCCTTCTGGCTCAAAACTTCTTGTGGTTCGAAATCCTGAGAATGATGGTCCTTCTCGCTTTGAAATTTGGAGTTCATCTCACATGGAGAAGGAGTTTCATATCTCCCAATCAGTGCATGGTTCAGTATATACTGATGGATGGTATGTAGCACTATGTGACAAATTTTCCTACTGATATTTTTGATACTGTTCATTGTTAACCTGGTAGTCTATTAATGCATTACTGTTACTTGTTTGATTTGAAATGTTTAGTTTTGAAGTTATAAAGGTTAAGCAGTAGCTTCTGCAGAGCTTTTACAAACAGGTATTGTAGCACTCAAGCACAAATGATCATTTTTCTATGGCATAGGTTTGAGGGAATCTCCTGGAACTTGGGTGAAACTTGTATAGCATATATAGCGGAAGAGCCCTCTCCTGCAAGGCCCTCATTCAATGACATGGGCTACAAGAAAGGGGCATTTTCAGATAAGGATTGTGGTAACTGGAAAGGTCAAGGGGATTGGGAAAATGATTGGGGAGAAACTTATGCTGGAAAGCGGCAACCTGCGCTTTTTGTTATCAACATCAATAGGTTTTTCATCTTTCATGCGAATGCCAAAAATAATATGGGATAATTTCTAAGAAAATCCTAATTTAATTAGTGTTCTTCCAGTGGAGAGGTACAGGCAGTCAAAGGAATTGATAAATCTTTGAGTGTTGGCCAAGTTGTGTGGGCTCCTTCTACTCAAGGCTCAGAACAATATCTGGTTTTTGTTGGATGGTCATCTATGACAAGAAAACTTGGTATGAAGTATTGTTCTAATAGGCCTTGTGCATTATATGCTATTAAAGCACCATATTATGACCCGAAAACTTTTGAGCCAGAATCCCTGTAAGTTACTTTTCACAAGATCGTCTTGACTCCCTTTGTTTGAATACTTGTTAGGAAGTGAATATTTATTGTTAATTTGGTTATTTCTTTACTAAAGCATGAAATTAATGTTGCAGAAATAGCACTGCTGGGGAGACACGTGCTCTTAACCTAACTCAAAGCATAAGTAGTGCTCTCTTTCCACGATTCAGGTAAGCTGGTGGCGTCAGATACTTGTCTTTAGGATTTGTTACCCAATACACACTAGGTTTAATTTGTTCATTCATTACTTATTCTCCATTTCTTTCTTCTTGCGGATGACAAAGGATCTGTTTTTTTTTTTTTTTAATTCAAAAGTCTGCCTTCTCTACTTTAAATTTCATTTTTTTCACTTTCCTTGTATTTTAGCATCATGCTATAAGAATCTGTACTAGTTTTTGAAATAATATTCGTATATCAACTGCATTTCCATAGTCCTGATTGGTGTTCATGAATTGCCTACCAGCCCAGATGGAAAGTTCCTTGTGTTTTTATCTGCAAGCAGTTCTGTAGATTCTGGAGTCCACCTTGCAACAAATTCACTTCATAGAATTGATTGGCTAACCAATGGGAAAATACACCAATTTGTAAAAATTTATGATATTGTAAGTTCTTCTTATGTTACATTTTAAACATAGAATGCTTGTATTCTGAGCATTACAAGTGATGTCATTGTCCTTAGAATGCTTTTAGCGCTAGAACTAAATGCATACACTTTTCCTTATATGGTTTATCTGTCATCTGTGTGGGTTTGGGACTTTTGTCCGCTGGAAAATCTGCTTGCCTCCATCATTTATACTTCTGATGATAGAAAAAGAATACAAGTGTTATATCTTAACTGTGGAACATGATTGTTCCACAAAATTTATCGTAGGTATTATATTCAATGAGCTATTTGTTTTCTTGCCTGGTTGTTTCTTTCATATCCTATTTTATTTGTGGTAAATGGTATCGGTTGCACCTTATGTAGTGTTCAATTTGTCAAATTGTTCTTTCTGGCCTTATGATCTCTATCTGTAAGCAACATATTGAAAGGTAGCCTTTTAATATATCTGCAAAGATGATCAGCTCTTCAGGTCATGTGTGGTTTACTTACATTTTCTCTTACTTGATGAAGCAAAGGATATATTCTTTTTCCATAATTACATTTTAAGAATTCAAAGAAACCTTTTGAAACAGTTTGTCTTTGTAATTCCTTTGCAACAGTTGTTGGAAACTTGAGAGTTTCACAGAGCACATATCACTGATGGTATGACATGCAAAGAATAAGTAGTTTAGTTAGTTGGGGAGTTGGTTAGTTAAGATTTGCTAGAATAAAAGATGAAGGAGCCTATATAAGGGATCATAAGTGTGAGTCAGATACTATACTTAATTTAAAACCAGAAATATTGTTCAATTCCTCTATTATATGTCTCTTTCTCTTTTCTCCTTTGTCTCCTATCTCTTCCTCATTTCTTCTCTCTCTCCTCTGTTTTCCCTTCTTTCTCCCTCTTCCCTACTTTGTATATATCACAGTACCTTTTTTTAAATCAATTTTGAAGATTCCGGTTGTGATGTGTGCTGAGGATGGTTGCTTTCCTGGGCTTTACTGTACAACTATCCATAGTAACTCATGGCTTTCCGATGGGTACACCATGATCATATCATCCATCTGGCACAGCAGTCAAGTTTTACTTTCCGTGAATGTGTTGAGGTAACCATGATGGTTCGAATGCATCTTTGTTCCATTTATGCAAACACTTTTCCTATTAGGAGCTCAAGATCTCCGCGTTCCGATTCCTGATGGATTGCAAGTAAGTTATTCAAGAACTTTAAAAATCATTGGCTCTTTTTTATTTTGATGTAACTGCAATGCTTTGCTTGGCTTAAAGTTATATTTGTCAAAAAAGTTCCTTTCTTTTGCCAAAAATAACTGGCACTTGATTCAGGCATGTTTGTTTAATCTTTCTTCATGAAAAAACAACTTATTTTTCAAAAAAAATATATTTGTGAAATTTTACTATGTTTGTTTAAACTTTTCAAAATAATCAAAATTAAAAAAAAAAGATTTTTTATTACTTTGAGAAGTTACTTTGAGTAACTTCTAAAAATAATTTGATGTGATAAATATGAGAGAATGCCATAAAAAATGTTGAGATACACAAATATATTATAAAATTTTAAAATAACTAAATAATTGATTATATTTTATAAATACAGATCCACAAATATATCATAAAATCTAAAAATAATTAAATAATAATCAGTTTTTATTATTGTAACCAAACATAAAATAAATGTTTTTTATAAAGTCTCTACAAAATAAATATCTTTTTCTTTTTGGTAAAATCTCCAGACTATTTAAAAATTATTTATTTTTAAGCTTAAACAATAGGCCCATATTCCTTCTCACCCCAAGTTTGCTTAAACTGTTTGGTGTCCTTGATAGAAAGGCATTTCCTTTTCATCATCTCTATGCAATTTTTATTGTATGCTTTTAACTTGAAGTTATTATTCAACAATTTTTATTTATTGTAAGTAGGAACGCAATAATCATTTTTCATCCTCAAAATATATATATATATATATATATATATTTTGCAGTATGCTCGAGCTTTAAAGGAGAAAGGAGTTGAGGTTAAAATCATGATGTTTCCCAATGATGTTCATGCACTTCAAAGGTAGATGAATCTAACGTTCAAAACTTAATGTAGTACCAGTTGTGGAAAACATCTTTTTGTTCTATTCATGTTAAAGAAGCTATAACAATGAAGAGCTTCATACCCAATCAGGGTCTATGTTCTATTTCACCCTTTTTTTTTTTTGAAAAATTAATCATTTAATTTCTTTAATTTTAATTTAATTAAAACTTTATTCTTAAACTTTGATTCGATATAATTCAATCCTTATAGCTATAATCTCAACTCAATTAAAATTCAGTTCATGAATTTTGATGTAGTACATCTCAATTCCTACAGTCTTAATCATTTAAAACATTAGTTTCTAATGTTCAAGAAATAACTTTAATTCTTATATTTTTATTTTTTTTAAATGTAGGGACTAAACTTTTAAATGGTTAAAACTACAGTGATTTAGCTGTATTGAATTAAAGTCCAATAACTAAATTTTAACTACAAAACGATTAATTTTTTTTAAAGTAAAAAAAAAATCACTTGGCGTGTTTGTGCTAGTAAAACTAATAATCAATAAATGAAAACTACATCTGATGTTTTAGCTTCTCATTGCAGACCACAATCTGACTTTGAATGCTTCCTTAACATTGGGGTGTGGTTCAAGAAATTCTGCAAATGAACAGGTATTGAACATGTTCAAGTAGCTTTTGCTGTTCACATGTAATCTTGACCTCTCTCTCTCTGCGGTATGATTGGCAGGAGCAACAAGTTGGAGATGAGAAAAGTGAAGGGAAAACTACGTTTTCTGTCACTAAGAAAAGGAAATTGAGGGAGAGTTTTAGGAGAACTCTTCTTCCAAGATTACCCATTGATTTTTTCATTTTCTGCCTGCCACCTCCCTCCATTTGTTCTTATACTTGGTTGTAGTTTTAAAATTTTTATATTATTATATGTTTAACAATTTTATAAATAAAATTTAAAATTAGATAAAATGATATGCAATTATATTTTTATTCCATTAGTAATATATAATGAAAATTATATAAAGAATATATTAAAATTTTAAGTTTTATTATATCTAAATATTTTTTTACAAATATTAAGGTTGTTATTATCCATATAAAATTAACCATTTCTTCTTTTTCCTTGTTTGGCCAAGCATAAGGAGAGAAAGCACACAGGGAACCAAAATGAGCCTAACACTGCACAATGAATTTCAATATAAGCATTTTTTTAATATAATCATATTTGGTTGATCATAAGTATGATTATATTCCCATAGCAATCATGTTCCTTAAATATTGGGAATTTAGATTAATGACTTTATACCTATCAATTCTCATCCCAGGTGAATGACAATTAAGGACTTCATAAAATTACTAATTACAATTAGAAATCTTGAATAATTGAAATTTCAATAATAGAACAAGGTTCTTATTTGAAATTAAAAATATATATGATTGAAATTAACAATAGTCACAACATAAAAAACATTTGATTGAATCTCACTTAGAAAATAAAAAAAAGACATTACTAAAATGACTATTATAGGTTATGACTATTGTAAATCTTAATCACAAACTATAACACTTGAGATCATATTTTTTCCAATTGAGATTTACAATTATCCAAACCCATTATAGTAATTTTAGTAATTTCTTTTCTTATTTTTTTCAATGATTTACTTATATATTGACAAATATAAAAATTCACAAGTGCTTAGCTTCATATTCAGAAGTAATTTTGGTAAATTTTTAATTGACTATCGTATATTTACAAGTGTCTTTCGAATGTTTCATAAGTGAAATTTAGTTTCATATTAGGAAACAACCAATTCTCAAATATGAAATTAGTTTTTCCAACTAAGGTTTACACTATTTCCATCCTCTAATAATTTTACTAGTGTTTTTTCTTAATTTTTCAAATGAAACTCCATTAGCTATTTTTCTACATTTACTCGAGCAATTTTGTAAAATTATATATATTTTAAATTCTAAATAAAGAGCATGATTTATTATTGAAATTTCAATAATTTAAGGTTCTTAATTGTAATTGACAGTCTCATGGGGTCCTCAAATGTCATTTTTCCTTCTCATCCCTTTCTCCTTATTAATCCATTGATTTCTGTTGACAAAAATTTATATATGATCATTATGATTTTGGTTTATTTTATTCTTTATCAATCAATTCAATTCCTCCCAACAACCAAATGGCCGCACAAAATTAGATGAGTGAGATTAAGTTCACATTGATAATTATAAACTAAATATATTTAGGCTTTTTTCAGCTTGATCTTTTTAGGCTTAAGCTCTTAACGGGCTAACTTGTTTTTTTAGCTCTAATTAATTCTATTAGATTTCTTCTGACCCAAATGTATGACATTTTCTAGTAGCTAATATTAGTTCAAAATGTATGACACTTATTAAAAAGTCAATAACATAATTTTTTTTTTACAAATGCCTCTATTAACTACTATACTGTAGAAATAGATTGTATAAAAAAGAAATTAAAAGTAATTAAGATAGGTTGATTTTAATTGGAGGGTAATTTTGAAAATAATGATAATTTTTTACCAACTTAATTATGCAAATCACTTTTAACTAATGTTTTTAAAAAGCTGGATAAGACGCTAAACCACAAAGGTTGAATCTTAGCTTTCATGGTCTAAGTCATTAAATTGATGGTCAAATTGAAGATGAACTAATAAAATAAAAAATAATATTAAATGTATATAAAATATATATATATAGAGGAAGTAAATTACTGTATGTCTAATTGTTAATAAAATATCACCGCATGACAATAAGTAAAAAACATTATAAGTTATAGTTTAATAATTTCTCAATAACAAGTGGATCTTGATTAAATCAAAGGTAAATAAGCAAATTATGTTCTATACCATAGATTTAGAAATGTCTAAAATCCTAAACTCATTTTTGTAAATTTTTTTTGACTTTTGAAAATAGTATAATTTGATCCCTATTATTAATAAAAGTTAACTTTGACTATTAGTTAACCAAAAAATGACAGAAAAAGACTCAAAAAATTATTAAAAAAACCAAGGAATTTTTTGGTCCTTCTCTATAAATTTTGGGTTCTTTTTTTGTAATTTTTGAAGTTCTTTTCTATTATTTTTTAGTTAACTAATAATCAAAGTTAATTTTTATTAATGTCAAGGATTAGATTGCATAGTTTTTGAAAGTTAAATGGAAATATTGCATAAAAGATAAATTTAGGGTTCCTAACATTTCTAAACCTATAGTTTAGGGAGCAATTATTCTTGCTTAAACAAAAATAAGTTCAACCAATGGGCGCTTGACCACAGTGGTTGGAGCTTGGTCAACATTCTTTGGGATCATGTGTTCGATCCTTGGGGAGTGTAGCAGCGATAAAAAAGCCTCTAAAGGGCTTCCCATAGGTACCTGTACCGCTGTAAGGTCCCTTTAAAGCAAGATTCAAATTAGTTTGGGGGTGAAGCGGGCAAAGAACCTAGATTCCCTCTCAGGATACTGGATGATACAATTTAATTTCAACATGTATAAAAAAAAGAATAAGTTCAAAAATATCTATATTTGCACTTACAATTGTTAAAATCTTAAAAAAAATCATATATCATATTACATACACAAAAAAGGTTTAAAAAAAATGAAGTTTGCTCCTAGAAAGGTCTTATTTTATTTTATTTTGGTTTTTTAGGTTTATTTAAACTTTTTTTTATTAGGTTCAATTCTGTCTGCTTTTTATAAACTGGTTCAGTTTTTGACTCAACTGTGAAAATTATTCTAGTCACGATTCAATTAGCCCTTTTTTTTTTTGGAGCTGAAAGTCTGATTAGTTCTTAAAGCAATACTTTTAAGGGAAAATAGCATCTAAGGACCACTATACAATATTTGAATTCCATAAGGACCAAATGATTTGATAATAGCACTGCAGCCCTTTAGTTCTTCTGACATATTAATTCCATAGGCAAAAAAACCTAAATACCCCTTATAGTTAAAAAAATAAAAAAAAGAAACCCCACAGTCGCTGGCTATTGGACCTCTGCCGATAGTGAGGTCACTAGAGCCTCTGCTGCTAGTGGGGTTGCAATCGCCAAAACTCCGGCACTAGTGACATTGTATTTCATAACTAAGGTTTTCAGGTGGTTAAGAGTGGGTTTGATCCCATGACCCTTGGCCACCTAAATAATGGTCACCAGGCCCTTTAATATATATATGGCAAAAAAAATTATAAGTAATAAACCAAACACAAAACTACTTTTATGTAATAGTCTAATGTGTATTGTTAATTTTTGAACAGAACTTGTTATTTAATGAATGTCACTTGTTAATCTGACTTAGACAATTACAAATTGAAGATTTCAAAACTTCACTCATTTTACTTGCTAAACATCCTAATGTATTGTTGTCATTCACGAATAAGTTGTTGTCAAAACCAAACGAATACTTGTCAGTGAATGACTAACACGCACAACTAAATCCTTCCTATCATTTTTTCTAACTTGTTAAAACCATAATAGATTCTTATTAATTTCAAATGAATTATTGTTATTTTACAAATGTCACTTTTTAATCTGATATGGACAATTACAAATTGAGAGTTTCATAACTTCACTTATTTTACTTATTAAACGTCTCAATGTGTTGTTGTTAATCACGAATAGGTTGTTGTCAAAATCAAACAGATACTTATCAGTGAATGACTAACACATACAACTAAACCTTTCCTATCATTTTTTTAACTTGTTAAAATCATAATAGATTTTTGTTAATTTCAAATAAATTGTTGTTATTTTGCAAATGTCACTTGTTAATATGACATAAACAATTACAAATTGGGCGCTTTAAAACTTCACTCATTTTACTTATTAAATGTTTCAATGCGTTGTTATCAATCACGAATAGGTTATTGTCAAAATCAAATAGATACTTGTAATAAAAATTGATAGGAAGGGTTAGTACAAGATGAGTAAGTATTAGTCATTTACTAACAAGTATCCGTTTGGTTTTGACAACAACCTATTCATGATTGACAATAACATATTGGGATATTTAACAAGTAAAATGACTGAAGTTTTGAAGCCCCCAATTTACAATTATCCATATCAGATTAACAAGTAACATTTGTAAAATAACAACAATTCATTTGAAATTAACAAGAATTTATTATGGTTTTAACAAGTTAAAAAAAATGATAGGAAGAATTTAGTTGTATGTGTTATTCATTCACTGATAAATATCCGTTTAATTTTGACAATCACCTATTCGTCATTGATAACAATAAATTAGGACATTTAACAAGTAAAAGAGTGATGTTTTGAAGCCCTTAATTTGTAATTGTCCATGTCAGATTAACAAGTGACATTCATAAAATAACAAGTTTCGTTTATAAATTAACAACGTACATTATGTTATTACATGAAAGTGATTTTGTATTTGGTTTACTACTTATAATTTTTTTTTGTCATATATATATATATATATATATTTTAAAGGGAGCAAGCTTTTTAGATGGCCAAGGGACATGGAATCAAACCCACCCTTGGCCATCTAAAAATCTCAGTTATGAAATAAAATATCATCGACGTTAGAACTCCAGTGACTGGCCGCTAACGACCCTGCCTATAGCAAGGGCTTTGGCAACTTAGCTAGTAACTGTGAGGGTTTCTTTTTTTGTTTTTGTTTTTTAACTATGAGGGCATTTTAATCTTTTCACTTATGAAATTAATATGTTAAAAGGATCAGAAGACTACAGTGCTATTATTAAATTATTTAATCCTTTTAAAATATAAATATTATACAATGGTGTTTAAATATTATTTTCCTTACTTTTAACTACCTTTCTCCATGCTTGGAAAGTACAGTTAAAAAATGTGCCGTATTTTGGAGTGAAGGGATTGTAACAATGATGACTTATCAAACGTTAATCCAGTGACACGTGGCACAAGGAACCTTGCAGACGAAACACACGGTGAGGACGTAGGGGAAGGAGTCAACAATAACAGTACTAGCGGGGGATGAGTCATGAGAGGTAAGAGATGTGTGTAAATATCTACAGGGCAAGGACGATACACTTGAGCATCAGCACCACCGGGAAGTGTTGTATAAGCGTGCCTTTCCTGCGATTCCCTCCTCATTTATTTCATCGCTCCATTCCTTTCAAACGCATCTCTTCGCTCACGTGAGTCTCTTCTCTCTTTCTCTAATATTCGCTTGTTCCGTTCACTTCTATGACTCTTGCGGATTCTACTTTACTCTTCACTCATCATCTGCTTGGTATGTTTCATGATGAATGATATTTTCAGTTTCATTTCAACTTTGAATTGATATATTGATTGCTGATGATAGTGTCATGCGTATATGCCCTTTATTTGTCTTTTTGTATATCACTGAATGGCTTTACCTTGTATGAGTGTTGCTTCACTGAGCCAAATGCGCTTTGGTCCGGCCAATTGGTGGGAGTGTTCTTGTTTTGGCGACGGGATAAAGCAAAAGAGCATTAGAAATATGATCTTATACCCACTATCAGCATTAATGAACTACTCATGAAACACTTACGACTAAATTGTAACAATTTTTTTACCGCTGTAGATTGAGAAGAAATCTATTGTTTTTGAACTGGATTAGTAGCATAACTTTGGTGGACTAATCTCATTTGGTTTAATCCAACTAAAAATAGTATTTTTATTTGATTGATTAATGTAGCACAAAATTATGAAGAAAACTATACGCGGACCTTGTGTGCTGCATGGAGTTTGAAGAACAAGCCCTACCGTAGATAACTTGTAGATGAATTAGTTCTACTTCTAACGTGTGTGCACGCCACTTATTTTATTTTTTAAAAAAGGATGTTTTCAAGTTTAACCCTTCTTTTTATTACATTTTTTTAGTTGTTGATTATTGAAATGCATATTCTTTTTATTACATTTTTTTAGATGTGGATTGTGAGCAGTCATGATATACATGCATGTTTTAGTGACATGGCATATGACTTTCTTTTTATGTTTATTGATGTCAAATTTTTTGTTATGTAATTTCAGAAAAAGATTTCTGGTAGCTTTAGCAATGGATGGTCCAAAAGCTGGTGCACCTAAGGAAATGCCACTGGGTTTTGATGATACGACTGAGGAAGAATATGCTTCTCAGTCTAGTTTACTTCAAGAATTCAATAGTATCTCCAACATTGACAACGCATGGATTTTTAATTCTGACAGTGGTAAGTGCACTGTTTTTGACATTTTTGTTTTTCCTTATGTCAGTCTTCTTTGCATCATTCAAGTTAGATTTATTGCTATTGATTTCATTTCTTTATACTTATATATTTGCCGCAGCACTCGCCTCTCAGGGAATGTTTTGTATTAGCCAACCAAATCTTCTCACAAACAAGAGAAAGAAGTTCATACTATCCTCTACAATATTTAAGGAAAGTAACAGCTCTGTAAAATTTCACTGGGCTCCATTTCCCATAGAGATGTCTGGAGCATCTAAAGTTGTTCCATCACCTTCTGGCTCAAAACTTCTGGTAGTTCGAAATCCTGAGAACGAAGGTCCTTCTCACCTTGAAATATGGAATTCATCTCACTTGGAAAAGGAATTCCATATCCCCCAGTTAGTGCATGGCTCAGTATATACTGATGGATGGTATATTATCATATGTGCTTCTATATTGTTCATAGCCAAACAAATAGTTTTCCCCTCAAGTTAGTCTCTGGTATTACTTGTTTGATTTCAAATGTTCTACCACTTTTTAACTGTAGGGGGGAAAAAGGGCATAGCCTCTGCACAGTGGCAATGTCTAGGAGGTTCTTAACACAAGTCAAAATTTTTATGTCTTCTTCTATGATATAGGTTTGAGGGAATCTCTTGGAACTTGGATGAAACTTGTATAGCATATGTAGCTGAAGAGCCATCCCCTGCAAAGCCTAATTTCAATGATCAGGGCTACAAGAAAGGTGGTTTGACAGATAAGGACAGTGGTAGCTGGAAAGGTCAAGGGGATTGGGAGGAGAACTGGGGAGAAACATATGCAGGAAACAGGCAACCTGCACTTTTTGTTATAAGCATCAAAAGGTTATAAATCATATATATATTGATACAAATTATAAGGGGTTTATGTTTTTTAATAATAAACCTAACTGAAATGATGTTTCTATAGTGGAGAGGTACAACCTGTTAAAGGAATCGACAAATCTTTGAGTGTTGGACAAGTTGTGTGGTCTCCATCAACTGAAGGCTCAGCACAATATTTAGTATTCGTTGGATGGTCATTTGAGACAAGAAAACTTGGTATGAAGTACTGTTACAACAGACCTTGCGCATTATATGCTGTTAAAGCCCCACACCATGAGTCAAATGCTAATGAAACAGAGAATCAGTGAGCTTCCTTATTTTAAATTCCTTTTTTTAACTGAATAATTGTTACATTTTGTCATTCTCCTAAATTGTGAAGTCATGCTGAAGCAGCTCAACTGAAGATTTCCAGGCAGTAAACCTAACCTGGACTATAAATAGTGCTTTCTTTCCACGGTTCAGGTAAGATGGTGAACTCAAATAATTTGTAGAATTTTTAACCATTCTTTATTTGTTGGACTTGATCTCTCTTTGTTTCATATTCTTGATCAAGAAGGGGTTTTTCTTGGAAAATGGAACATTTACATTTTTGTACACCTTTTTCTGTTTTTGTGATTTATGCAAAATATAAATTAATTACAAGATGATATGAAGGTTAACTAATGATGACAAGATCGCATAAATGTATTCTAAAATTGGATTTTAATTTTGAGAAGTAACTTCTTATGTTTGAATTTTCTTTTAAAGGACTTTAAGGTCTATTGCATCAATAAGTGAAGAATATATATGATATATTCTGGTAGCTACTTTTTGCTTAAACAAGCATAGATTCTCTTTTCTTCAGTTAGATAATCTGATAACTCATAAAAAGGGCTATCCTGATGCATGAAACTTCTGCTATGCACAGGGTCTAGGGAGGGTTGGACCTAATTTGAGTCTATTAATATGCACCACCTTACCTTGCATTTTAGCAGGAGGCTGTTTCCATGGCTTGAACCTGTGACCACAGGTCATACGGCAACAACTTTACCACTATGCCAAGGCTCTCCCTCTATATCTAACAAGTCATGCTGATTAAAATTTTTCTGTGTAGTGTAATTTTTTAAAAACTTTTTCCTGATATAAGTGGCCAAAGTGTTACAGTACCTTGTCAATTTACTGTTATATATCTGTGATTCTGAAATAAATGAATTTTAGGTAGTTAGTTACAGTGAGTTAGGGCTGTTACCGTTGCTAGCCGTTAATTTACTAGTTAATTAAACTGAGACATTAGGCTACCTACATAATACCCTATGTAAACATTCTGACTACCACTACCTTAATGAGAATTATTCATGCAGATTATTCAGCAAAGCCTCTGGTTTCCCTATTCTTCTATCTCGTCTATCTGAACCTCTCTTCTGTCCTCTGTTTCTCTTTTCTTTTTCCCCTCTTTCTCTCTCTTTTCTGAATTACAAAGGGCTATATTTACCCTCCGGCTTCACATAGAGTTTGATCCTTTCTTTTCATGGAAGTTAAAGAAATTAATTATCATGATAATTTTATGAACTTTATCATATGCTGAATACTGTGCATGAATGTTATACCAGCCCAGATGGGAAGTTCCTTGTGTTTTTATCTGCAAAATGTTCAGTGGATTCTGGAGCCCACTCTGCAACAAATTCACTCCATAGAATTGATTGGCCCACTGACTTGAAGGATTACAAATCTTTTGAAGTTTATGACGTGGTAAGAACTTCATTTGTGACTAGTACAATCTGTATGTGATTATTTCAATTGAAACTTTTATTATATATTGTTGTCTGTGAGTTCTTAATTTGCTCATATCAATATCAATATATGCCAGTAAATATAAGATACAAAATTCATGGTAAGTTGCAATATTCACAAGTTGTGAATTAACAAAGAGCCCACCTAGTTAATCATAAAATTTAGGGAAACTATAATTGTTGGTTCCTATACTTTTAACGTGTTTTGATATTAGTTCCTATACCTTTTTCTTTGTAAGTCCCTTAAGTTTCATCTATCTGCAATGTTAATCCTTATATTTTTAAATATGACCACAAGGACTTAAAGTGGCTAATATATGCATAAATTTTTTACTTTTTGTGTTGACTTGTTAAAATTATGATGAGTTGTATAAAAAAAGAGTAAAAAGAGGGGGGGGGGAGTAGGACATTAAAGCAAAATCCTTTAACACACGATGAATGAAGCTTCAAAGGGGGGAAAAAAAAACCCAACTAGGGTAAACAAGTAGAAAGACTGGTAATCATTTGATTCATACCATGTTCAATTCATCATAATTTTACCATCTTGGTAACAAAATTAAATAGAGTTATATACACATCAGCGGATTTAACTATCAGTGACGATGAGGACTAATGTTGTAGACATGAAATCTAAGGGACTTGAAGCAGGGGAAAAAGTATAGAGGTTAGGGACTAATACTAAAATATGCTAAAAGTGTAGGGATGGACAGTTGTCCTTTCCTTAAAATTTAGCTTCTTGGACTTTATATGCTAGCAAACTCAAACAATGATGGAATGCTCATATAAGTTGAAAACTAGAGCATGTTGTTACGCCTTACATCAGAATTGCCTCATGACAAAGTGGTATCAGAGCCGGACTTTGGTTTGCTTAGTTGATAGGCCTCTCTAGTGGGCCACCAGTGACAGGGGGATCATGGATTGGTTGGGGGAGCTATTACGTCTCACATCAGAGGAACTTGGGGAGGGTTTTGAGCATATAAGTGGGTGTGCTGCACACCCTACTGAACTAGATTTTTGGGGAGAGAGTAATGGTCTCGTGACAATGTGTTGTGCTCTACTTTGTTTTGGTTTTATACATAATATTCTGATGATAGAATGCACTTGAGTTTAAACAAAATGACAAAGTTTATTCTCTTTTAAGGGTTGATTTTGGGATTGGCCTGGGTAAATTTTACGCACTGATATCATCAGTTTTTGGATTTTGGGCATTGCTTGTACATCTTATATGTCCTTGTTTCTTTTGAGTTTGATAAGGTTGTTTGCTGTGTTCTCGACTCTCTAGGAACCAGATATGTTTTGAAACCTAGATTACTAGTTGAATTGACAAGATTTTTTTCTTCTGCTTGGGCATTGTTCACTGGAATAAGGTGCCGTTGTTTCAAAGCAAAATTAATTAGACTGGTATTCTTCTGTTTGAATGTTGTTCAATGTAATAATGCACCCTTCTTTGGAAAATTAGCTAAGAAATTCTACAATGTGTTGATAAAGATTTTTCATAGTTATGTTAGAAGCTCAGCTATAGGAGAAAAGACATTAGTTGAGACACTTATTTAGTTTCATGTTCATAATTAAATTAGATTCTTAGTTTCAAGGACCCAGCTGGTTTCCCATGAGAATGAAAAAGTTTTTGATCTAGAGAAATGGTTTATTCAATTGTGAGTTGCACTATATTAGCCCAACTCAGCATCAGTAAAGATCAAGGGCTCAAATCAGTGCATGTACTTAGTTCCACCACTCCTACACAGCACACAGTGAGTTTTCAATTTTACTTATTGTGGTTTTCTTTCGTCAATTTTGAAGATCCCTGTTGTGATGTGCGCTGAGGATGGTTGCTTCCCTGGGCTTTACTGTTCAGCTGTCCTTTCTAATCCTTGGCTTTCTGATGGATGCACTATGATTTTACCGTCTGTTTGGCATAGCTGTCAAGTTTTACTTTCAGTGAACGTGTTGAGGTAACTATTACCATAGAATCCAAAAAAAAAAAACTATTACTTTAGGAATGCATTTTTACTTCCTTTGTGCAAATCTTCATGCAACTTTTTATGATCAACTCCATCTATTTTCATCATACATAGTGGAGAAGTATCAAGGATCACCCCTGCTGACTCAAATTTCTCATGGGGTCTTCTTGCATTAGATGGGAACAATATTCTTTCTGGTAACATCAAAAGTTTAGCTTTACTTTTATTTTTATTTTTTTGACTTTCCTATTGAAGTAGGGGAAAAACATGTCACTTTCTTCAATTTTGTTCAACTTTATCCAGTTTTGAGCAGTCCAGTAGATGTTCCTGAAATCAGTTATGGCACCATTATTGAGAAGGAAAATGATGCTAAGGCTTGGAGTTGGTCAAATGTATCAAGTCCCATATTCAGATGCTCTGACAAGGTTTATTTAATTTCCTTTTGGAATTTTATTATTGACTTTTGCAGATAAATGATTTATGATATCCTAAAAAATGTATTATTTGAGTTTACAGGTCAGATCCTTGCTGTCCTCTCTTCAGTTCAGTGTAATGAAAATCTCCGTGAAAGTTGCTTCTGATAACCTAACCAAAGGTGATTGTTGACTTGGTTATCTGGACTAGGATTAAATAGATAGAATTCTCTTATTATTACACTTATGTTTTTAGGGTCACCACAGATAGATTGAGTTAAGAACTGATTGCATCTTGTGGCATTGGATGCATACACATATTTTTGCAATGCTGAAAGAAATCCAAGAAAGTTCTGTTCATTGAGGATTTCAGTTACTTGATTTGGTTTATAAACTTTATATCTGTTCATTGAAATGCTTTGCTAAGTGTAACCGCACCTGCAAGAGAAAACAGTTAACATTGAGAAACTTGATGCATAACTTGTTATGTCTTACATGAGGGAATCAGTCATAAGTTAGAAGCTCTTGTTCATATTTACAATAAATTTGGTGGCTGGGCTGAGTACTTATAGAGCAGTCTAACATATAATCTTATTTACTTTCTTTTTAATTATAGAATGTAAGATTACACTGAAATTTTGCTGGAGGAATACTTTTCATATTTTCCTTAAATTTTTACTTCAATTCAGGTGCTAGGAAGCCTATTGAAGCTATATTTGTGTCATCAAAAACCAAGAAAAATGATACATGCGATCCACTAATTGCAATCCTTCATGGGGGACCCCACTCTGTCTCTTTGTCAAGTTTTTCAAAGTCACTGGCTTTCTTATCTTCTCTTCGATATAGCTTGTTGATTGTAAATTACAGGTAAATGAAATTCTCTTGGCATTCTAGCATTCATCAAGGCCAGAAATTTCAAACATTATCGGTTTGATGTTTTTATCATAATTTATATTCTTTTATTAATTTGATCAAAGAGATGGGTTATCATTATCTCAGTGATGATAGACCTTGAGTTAGTGTCCAGGAAGTGCTGATTGGTAGGCCAGGGGAAAAAGAAATAAAAGAAAAGAACAGAATCCCTTGAAATCATAAATTATCCAGGTCTGTTCTCAGGAGTTTGATGGAAACAGAGCTAGAAACGTATTGTTCAATCACAAAACTCTCCAGAGAGTGGAGATCTAATGGAGGAATATACTAGTCATGAAAAACAATGACAGCTCCTATGCTTTCGAGAGGCATAGGCTGTCCCAGAAACAGGAGACGTTTCAGTCTGTTTCTCTCATATTGGGTTTATCTCAAGGGAATCAATGAAATTAGTGGAGAAGTTGCTAGAGTCTGGTCTATCAAATCCCATGATGAATGGAGTTACAATAACAACAAGCCTTATATCACTAGATAGGGAAAAAAACGCACCAGCCAGGAATTGAGCAAAGAATTCCCCATCACACTCTGTCACGTGAACATGGGATGGGATATAGTTTGGTTTATTTTATAATTCAGTAATTTAGGTTTTAGATTTTAGTAATCATTTTATTTCAAAAGTTTGCTTTAGTCTAAATTATTTTAAATTATGATATTTACGTTATCTTTTATAGAAGTTTAAATTATTTTAAATTTTATTTTTATTTTTAGTTATTATACTTAGGATAGCCCTTGGATTATTTGATGTCAGACCTACAGTCGCCCTTGAAGAATATACCTTTTCTAGGAGTCATTTTTAAGGTACCAAGGATTTATACACTCTTGCAAGTATTTCTCATTCTGTTTGTTCATAAATGGACCGGCTACAAGCACAAAAACTAATCTCTTGTCAAGTTTGAGACAAGTAAATCAACCTTTGCCCAAGTCTCTAACAATTGAAGGATTTTCATATTTAAGTTTCAATTAATAGTTAGCCTACCTTAGAGTGTCTACAAGCACAAAAACACTGCAATATGCCAGTTTCTTCAAGAAGATTCAGAGTATGTTGCGTCCTCACTGCACCTTCATTGTTGTATTTTATATAAGTTTAAATAGCTGTAAAAAAAATGTTGTAAAAAAAAAATGTGCCAGTTTCTCGATTTTGTGACTGCTTGCTTGGTGTGGCCATCTCTGAACTAGTGATATGTGCTTATGGATGGTGGCATAAACTAATCCTTGTACAGAATGCGCTCTATGTTGGGTGTTCTGGTTCAAAACGGTTAATTAGATTAGCAATTATTTACTATTTTTTCTCAGAGCTATAATTTGTTATCATGCTGAATTCTTTTCTTTCAAGAAAGAATGACATTGCACCTTTTATGAGATGCCTGGATATTTAATTATAGTTGAAGAAATGTCTAATATTAGTCCTTTTGCATGCTTCTTACTTAATACTGTTTGTCAGAGGTTCAATAGGATTTGGCGAGGACGCATTACAATCTCTCCCTGGAAAAGCTGGTTCTCAGGTACCTATTTGTTCACTTGTTTCCTGAAACAGGTCGGCAAAGTTATTTGATAGCCATTCTTCTTTCAAAGCTAGTTCTATGATTGGGAAGCATGGACACTAACAGGAACACAGGACATGACACTGATACTAACACCACAATTTGACAATCTAAATATTTAATTTAAGGTGTCATGTATCATCTAACACAAGTGTTTGATGTGTGTTAGACATGGACAAATCTCCCTTTTTAAATTGTGCTTGCTTCATAGTTTTATCACTTTTTGGTTGGTCACTGATGTGTTCATCATGTATAGGATGTTGATGATGTAATCACTGCCATAGATCATGTCATTAACTTAGGACTTGCCAGTCCATCAAAGATCGCAGTGCTGGGTGGTTCGCATGGTGGGTTTCTGACAACCCACCTGATTGGCCAGGTGCAATGTAATTAAATGACCCTACATATTGTGACTTCTGATCAATGTTTTTTTCTATAATCCTTTGTTTTCTTTAAAAATTGTAATTCCAGTCTATTATGAACTTTGACCCTTGGATTTGATTTTCTAGTATATCTTAATCCTTGAATGAGTTTTCATGCTGAAAATTAGACTGCCATAAAAGTGTTAGTTCACAATGTTTAGTGCTGATTACTCAATCTTAGTAGCAGTGCTATTCTTATTGTCATTAAGGTGTTGCCTTTGATACCTATTTAGTCCCTTTAGTGCAAAAGCTGGCAATATAACTCTGATTTTCTAAAAAGATCTAATTTTGGCCCTCTGTCACATCTCCATCCATACAGTCTGCTGACTTGAAAGCTGAAGCCAAGTGAGTTAACGGTTCCACATGAGTGATGTATAAATCAGCGATTTTAAAAATTAGATGTTAGATTTTGGATGGATGATGTGACGCAAGAGGCAAAATTGGATCCTTTTTGAAAAACTAAGGGGGTAACATTTCCTTTTTTATTTGTCCCGGGGGATCAAAATGAAGCTTCTATGAAACTGTAGGACCAAAAGTGTATTTAAGCTTGTAATTTACTATTTCTGTTGATAATTAAGTGTTGCACAAGTACATGTACTAGAAGCAGGGATTTTTAAAGTCTAGTGATTGGCTAATGGGACAAAAATTATTAATATCAAGAATTTAATGAACATTATTAATGATAAAAAAGGATGTAGGAATTCCAGTCAAGAATCACACAAATATTAGCATTAACAGTGAAGGTAATTTTGTCTAACAAAACGTTGTCTTCAGCTGTCAAAAAAAAAAAAGTCTTTCGCAATATTATGTCTATGTTAGACGATGGCTTTTGATTGTTACCATTTTATTTTGCCTTCCTAATTGCTATAGGCACCAGAGAAGTTTGTTGTGGCAGCTGTGAGAAACCCTGTTTGTAACCTTTCATTGATGGTTGGTATAACTGACATCCCTGACTGGTGCTATGTGGAGTCCTATGGGATAGCCGGGAAGGATAGGTATACAGAAGCACCTTCAGAGGAGGATCTCACTCTATTTTACAGCAAGTCTCCTATTGCATATCTCTCAAAGGTTTGTTAATCGAAATTAGCATTTTGATAATTCAATTACGTTAGTAATGCTCCAGTTTTGGAGGCTGTTCCAACGGAAAAGCCGAATGATTGGTATAGTTCCTTGTGTGCTTACTATTTGATTCTTCAACGCACATGTAAACCTGTATGTAATGAGATCTAATCATGTACTGTTATGAAAACACGATGATAAACAACAAAAGGTATTTTTTGTCTCTTGATAATCATGTCTAAGACTATCTTGGGCTTAGTTTTTTGAGCAAACTGCATTAGCTAATATATTTTCTACTTGCAATTAGGCTTCTATAGTTTACAACTTCTTCTTCACTTTCTCTCCTTTCGGACATTACATTTTTTTGTTTTCTGATTATTTGTGTAGGTAAAAACACCAACGCTTTTCCTATTAGGTGCTCAAGATCTTCGTGTTCCAGTTTCTAATGGATTGCAAGTAAGTACTTCTATTCTACCCTCAATCATGTGCTTTATCAATTACTCACTCTATTGTAATGTTTAGTAGGTAGAATTTCTAGAAAGAAAATGAGAAATGTACATATCCCATTTTCTTTTTGGGTACATTCATCATTTCTTTTCTAAAAAAACTTTTCCATATACCAAACATTGCATAAGTGTTTGATTGGTTTTTGGAAAGACATGGAATGGGTTAATAGAGAATAAAATAAACAAAAATAAGGTTATAGATTGATAGAGAGGTAAGAATAATAGAAAGAGAGGAGTCATGGAATGATAGAGAGGTGGAAATAGGGATTGATGACCTTATTCATGTCACACCCTAATTCTGACTCCGTCACTCCATGGCTTTCCTCTCTATGTTATTACCACTTCTCTATCAATTCATGACATTATTTTAGTCTATTTTATTCTCTATCAATACATTCCATTGCATTTCATTTCTTTCTAATAACGAAATGGGTACTAAGGGTATTTCACTTAAATCTCTCTCTCCTCCTCTATACTTTTGAAGGACTAAGGGCTTATTTGATTACCCGTTTTTAGAAAAGTTTTTTTGTTCTGAAAAACAAAAATGTATTTTCTATATGTTCTAAAGAACAAAAATTAAAAGTTGTTTTGAAACACTTAAAAAATCAGAACATCTTTTAGATGTTTTGTTACTTTTTATTCTGCAAAATTGGTGAGAAGGCAAAAATTATCATGTTCTCATTGATGACAATTACGTTAATAAAATAAGTTATTATTTCACCAAGTTAGTTATGTTTTCCAAAATAATTATTCAGATAGATTTTTTTTTTATTTTTTGTTTCCAAAACTTGTTTTGAAAAAATATTCTGCATAATTGTTTTAAAAACATTAAAACATAAAAGAAAACCGAACAAGAACTAAATATGTTTGAGTGACAATTGCTGAACTTTTTGAGGGACTGATTCAATGTATAAGTGTAATGGTTGTAACTATGGACGACTAATTTTAAAATAAGTCCAAGGATTGGAGAGTAAAACGCATATATTTTTGGGACCTATCTTTGTATTATTCTTGAAAAATAAAGGATCTAGGACTGTGCAAGTTAATTTTAAATCCTTATTAGCAATCACTAATTGATTAATCCCATGCAAAATGAAACTTTCCCTTTTCTTGCGTCATGTATTTTCCTTGAAAATATACCTTGAGCTGATTGCATTCTTATTCAAATTGTGTAATGGTAAAAACTTTTTTATGTATTAATTGTAGTATGCAAGGGCCCTAAAGGCCAAAGGAGTTGACACCAAAATAATAGTGTTTCCCAATGATGTTCATTCAATTGACAGGTAGATAAATCCTTCATAAACTTATTTCCTTTCATGAAAACAATCATAAAAAATTATAACATAACAATATGGTTTAACTTTTTTCGTTTTTTGCAGGCCACAATCTGACTTTGAAAGCTTCATTAATATTGGGGTATGGTTCAAGAAGTATTGTAAATGAGCAAGAATTTCCAAATGCCTCCTGAATTTAAATATTGTTTTCCTTGATCTTACATCATATGAATATTTGAATACAAGCTCTTCATTTGTCTTTTTTTCTGCATTGTTATTTCTCTTTCCGATTTTTTCCCCTTTTCTTTGTATGCATCCCAATATCTGCAATTATTGGGGGAGTGACAGTTTGAGTTAAATTCCAAAGGAGTAAATTAATGACAATTAAGTCCTCTACCAATTTTTTTAAATAATGAGTTGCAAGTATTGATTCAAGTAATTCTAAATTCAGAAATTTCAATTGAAAATAAGGTATTTAAGTTTATAAATTTTGTTCATTTTTAAAATTATGTATTTTTATGTCTTTTGTTAAGGCACTTAGGTTTTTTTTTTTTAAATACTATTATTTATGCATGAAGTCAAGTTCTTATATTTTAGTTATTATTTTTGTCATCCTTGCTTAAAATATTATATTATTAAAAATATAATCACAATCAGTTTTCAATCGCTAAGCCAAAAGCTAATGCCCTAACCAGTTCGTGACTCTTTCAGTTTTTTAACAAATACATTTATTATTCTTGATCTTTTTAATGCCTCGAGTCTTAAAACGATGCTGAATGATATCTTGAGAACTATCAAACCCCCTTCATTTTGGGGAGTGTCATGTAACTTCAACACTCAAGTACCAAATTCTACCGATGAGATTGAGAACTATCAAATCCCCTCTTTTTTTTTTTTTTCATGATCGGCGAATTCTTAACCAATGTATACAATATAGAGATATATATATATATATATATATATATAGCGTGCGAGATCAAACTCGCTGAAGCAAGCTAGGTTGGACTTGAGATTAACTGTTCAGCTAATTTTGATGGGGTTTGTTACTTGTGAAAGCCTCATCGGCAATGATCAAGGGAATTAAATTATGAGATTTTTCATATATTTAGGCTATCATCCTAATATAACCGCTAAACTAATGGGTATGTGGAGAGAATTAAACTTTGTTGGAAGCAAAGTTTACCAAAATCAACATCTATTCAGATTCTTTAGAAGTTCTGTCATTGATTATCACAATTTCTATTAGGGTCATCCTCTCTTTAAGACTATTAATAAAATTACGAGAGATTGAACAATAATTTTCTATCACCTTTCTAAATAAGTAAATAAATATAATGATCTTCTAGCCAATGGGCTTCTAAAGACATTATAATGACCGTCGGATGTAGAAACTTTATGATTTCCGTTGTGACCTGATTTATCTTTTCCCTATATGTTTTTGCTGTGGCCTTGTACTTAAAAAGAAAAAAAAAAAACAAATCCCAGCAACTTGATGGGCAAGGATGAACCATGTGGTAGTAGACCATGAAGCCATCGAGAAAAGGAACGTATGTTTTTGTCTATGGTCTTACATGATCATTGGTGGCATTTTGAAGAATTTCCACTCAACTAAATTACATTTATGTTTGGATTTGTATGAACGAGAATAAAAAGTTGTGTTTAGAGTTGCTCAATATGACATAAATAAAGGAGTTGGAACATCAAAAGGAAATATAATTATATGAACGAAATCGGAGTTTAAATGCATGTCCATAACTGGCATTACATGAAATTCTTGCATAACCTGTAACTTTTTGTCGGGTACTACTATAAATAACTTATAACTTTGAATGTGTATTTATGTAGAAAGACCAAAATATCCTTATTCAAATTGTATTTGTCAGGGAATATTTTGATCCCTGTCCTGCGAACCAATTTCAAAAATTAAAACTATAGCCATTTTCGGAAGTCAGCCAAACAAGTAACCAACTATTTTGAAATATCTGTTGACAGGTTTGCTTCTGATTCTTTGTTATAAATATATACAAATTTCATCCTCATAAAAATTACAAACTTCCTCATTATTTTTAAAATACAAACAACTGTCTCCGAAAGACTTATGTATCCTTATCAAAATAATTTTCCATAAATTCTAAAAATGAAACGAATACTTGCACAATTTTAACAAAATTCAAGAGAGGCATGTGTACAATTTCAATATTAAAAAATTTAAAAAAATCTACATACAATTTCAAAATATTTATCTAATTTTAACAAAACTTTGGTGGGGGCGGGGGGAGCATGTAATTCATTATTTTTAAAGCCAGCTGATATCATTAAGTATAGATAAAATAGAATTCTAATTTAATGGAAGTCTAAAACCCTTTCAGATGTATTCCTATATATATCATCTCACACTAAGTATAGATTGCCTTGTAATCCTGAGACTCTTCTTCATCTTCTACCAGATCATCAATCATAAAATGAACATCCGGTACATACCCAGCCCAGTTCATCTCATAAAGAAGCAAATGAATTTTGTCATATATCTCTTCACATCTTGGATGCGCCTTGTCTCCAACAATAAATGCATTTACCTTGTCTCTTACCTCAATCCAGCTGCAACCAGGCTCTTTCTTTAACTTATATTCCTTCATTATTCTTCTTATCTTTGAAACCTCAACCCACATCCCTGCATCAGCATAAATATTTGATAGAAGAACATATGCAGAAGAGTCTTGAGGGTCTAATTGCAGTAAATAACTTGCTGCTTTTTCTGCCACTTCTACATTCCCTTGCCTCTTGCAAATACTAAGCAGAGTCCTCCATATGATCTCATCAGCTTCAAAAGGCATGCTTTCAATAAGCTTCAAAGCTTCACTCACTTGGCCTGATCTACCAAGTAGATCCACCATACATGAGTAATGCTCTAACTCAGGATTCAAACCATAGTGGCTTTGCATTTTCTGGAAGTAGTTTAACCCTTTGTCTACATAACCCATATGTGCACAAGCTCTGAGGACTGAGATAAAGGTCGCCCGGTTTGGTTTGAGATTCAGAAGCTGCATCTCCTCAAATACTTTAATGGCCTCTTCTCCAAGACCATGGCAGGAATAAGCACAAATCATGGCATTCCATGTAACGTAATCTCGGTTAGGTGCTTTCTCAAACATTAATTGGGAATCCGGCATTTCTCCACATTTTGAGTACATATCTACAAGAGTGCTGGCTATGTATGCATCTGAATGCCATTGTAGCTTGAGGATTTGAGCATGAATCTGCTTCCCAAGTTCAATAGTAGCCAAATCAGCACAAGTATCGAGAATTGTAGCATATGTGAAGGTGTCGGGTGTTACACCCATTTCGAGCATGTGACAAAAACACATCTGGGCATTTTCACTTTGCTTCTGCAATGAGAACCCTGAAATGATTGCATTCCAAGAAACGACTGTCTGCTCTTCCACTCTGTCATGGATTTTTCCCGCCTCTTCTAGCATTCCACACTTGCAATACATATCAACCAGTGCGCTTGCAGTAAATGGGTTTAAACCCATCTCAGATTTGATAATTCTTCCATGAATCTCCATGCCACGCTTTAAATTTTTCTTGCCAGCACAGGCTTTTAGAATACTACCATAAGTAAACTCATCTGGTTCCATTTTAGATCGCAGCATTGACACAAAAAGTGGAAGTGTTTTATCCAATTCTTCATTTTGCTCATGAGCAGCAATTATTGCATTCCAAGACACTGCATCCCTCATTACCATCTCATCAAACATTAGACAGGCTTCAGTTAGAGCTCCACATTTACCATACATGTCTAAAATGGCATTTGCAACACAGATACTAAACATTAAATTACATTTGAATGCCAATCCTTGTAGTTGAATCCCCTCTGAATACCCTTTGATCACGGCACAAGCACTAAATGCACCAGACAAACTAACTTCATCAAAGCCAAGACCAGATCTCTGTAAAGACTGAAAAGTCCCCAGAGCTTCTTTACCTTGATCTTTCCTGGCATATCCGACAATAATGGCATTATATGATGGTCGTCCAGGATTGGGCAACAAATTAAATAGCTTTCGAGAATCTGCCATGCTTTGACACTTGGCATACATGTCTACTATGGCAGTTCCCACAATGACATCATATTGAAAGTTTGCTTTTGAAGCATGGGCATGCAATTGTGTGCCTAGTCTAGTTGCAGATAATTCTGCACAAGCCCTAAAAATACTAGCATATGTTGATTGACTCACTCCAATACCTTCTCTTTGCATATCTTTGAACAGTTCTAGACCTTCAACAAGCTGGTGATTCTGAACACACCCTGCAATTATAGCACCCCAACATACACAGTTTTTTTCAGGAATTCCATAGAAAACCAGAGAAGCCTCATCTAGCTTCTTACATTTTGAATACATGTCTACCACAGCACAACTTGTTACCACATCATCAATCAAACCCAATTGAATAGCAAGGCAGTGAATTTGTATCCCTAAATTATAGTTTTCCACACCAGAACACGCTCTCAGGACAACAGCAAATGTCGTACGGTCTGGTTGCACATTCGCCGTTCTCATTTCAATGAAGACTTCAATTGCCTTCTGGTCAGACCCATCCCGTAAATAACAAGAGATCAAAGTATTCCAGGAAATCACATCTCTTTCAGGCATTGAGTCAAAAAAGGACTGTACAGTCACCATGTTTCCACTTCCTGCGTAGCCAAACATCATAGTGTTCCAAGAGATAGAGTCTCGATGAGGCATTTTGTCGAACACCTTAAAGGCGTAGTCCATGTTAGAGCATTTTGAATACAACTGAATCAAACAATTGGAAACAAAGATAGTGGGGACAAACCCAGATACAATCATCTGACTATGGGCCTGTTTACCAGGATCCAGAGCTTTCAGATTGGAACATTGCTGGAAATATTCAGAAAATGTTCTCCTCGTGGGTTTTGTTTGGATTGATGTAACCGTGCAAAATGCACAAGTCTGTGATAGAGAATTGAAAAATGGCTTTTCTTGGGGAGAGAGGAGCCTTGAATACCGAAGGCGAGAGACAATGTAAAGTAACATGTGACATGAATATACTCTTAATTTGTCTTCCTGGGTCTCACTCAGCAGCTATAGCTTGCTCCCAAAAAAAAAACTTGATAATTTCTGGGTTTTGAGCAACACTAAGCTGATTGATCATCACAAGTCATATGGAATCAAATCACCTTAATTATGGATTCTTCGATTGTTCCAGAAGTACGTAATTATCCACAGTAGGATTCATCCATGGCTGCCTGGGAAGAATCATAAACGATAAGATGACAGCACAATACTACACGCACGCACGCACACACATACTGTCTATATTCCTTTACTGCTTCAACATGCATAACACATTCAAAAGCACCATGCACAAAATCAGAGTCTTCAATATCAATACTTGGTGAAGATGATTTCTGGTTCCCATTCAGTATCGAAAGCACCATACTCGAACCTTCAAAGCAAGATTTAGAAATGATTTCTGGTTCCCATTCAAGCTAGTGGGGGGAAAAACAGCTGTGGCAAAGTCTTTTTTATATCTAGTTTTTGTTTTATTTTTAATATATCTTCTTTATTAATAAAAATGGGGAAAGAAAAATGCACTACGAGAAATACATTCATTTATGATTTATGATTATGACTCTAAGCAGACAGAGGCGAAAGGGCATGAAGAACCAATATTGGATTTCGAACAGAGGTCCTGGTTTTGGGTGAGATTGCTGCTGCGAACATGATTGTATCCAATAGAAAGTTAATAATAAAAAAATCAATCTTCTTAATTTTTAAAGAAATAAAATTTGTGTTTGTTTTTAAGTTTAACTTTTGTTTTAGAATATTTTATAAAACTTATAATTTTAATTTTTTTATAAGTTTCATAAAATGAATTGTTTAATTGAGATAAAATAAATAAATATTACCTCCATTCAAATTATAAGATAATTTTAAAGGTAATTTAATATTTCCAAATATACAATAATTGGCAAAAATGAGATTTTATTAAATGTATTTTTTTTTTTGATATTATACTTCCCTCCTTATTACTCTATCTCTCATAATTTAAAATTATATTAAATAAAGATATTTTTTAAAATATACTTTAAAAAATAAGAGAAAAAAGTCTATTTAATATACTTTATTAATATATTTAATTTTATCTATATTTATGAGAGGAGTAGCATGACTAGCATCTTTCCATCTAAGTGGGCCTGTTAGAATAACTGAAAAATATGAACAAGATTTAATTGAGCTAAAATTTCAATGGATCAAGCCCAATAACCTAAAGAGGAAAAACTATGGATTGACAAATTCAGATCCACAAACAGAGAGCTGTGGGGAGAGAGAACCTTTTCGGCCGAAGACGATTCTGACCCCAAAATACTGAAATAGAGAGCCGAGAGCGAAAATAAGTATTGACAGCTTCAAGCCTTCAAGTGCGACTGAGCCGTGAGCGAGCGAGACGCTGAAGTCTGAGAGAGGGATTTTGACGAACCACAGGGCTGAGATGAATGCAAGGAAGAACGGTATATTGCTACGGCGGCGACGGCGACGGCGAGATTTGACAGTGAGGACTGAGGAGAGACTACGGTCTGCGGCGAAGTAGTGGAGTGAGAGGATTTGGAATTTAGGGTTGGCTTTCAGATATTTTCAAATTAAAAATACTCATTTTAAAATGAAAAAGTATATAACAATATTTAATTTCCTCAATGAGGAGGTGACAGTAAATAACACCGCTTTTTTTTACCTCATTACAGCATAAAAATTTGAGCCAACTTGTTTGATTAAACTATTAAATTATTAAATCAATGTCTTACGATTGATTTGATTATGATTCAATTATGTTCTTTTTTAAAAAAATATAAAAGATCTTACAAATTTATGATTGGTTTGATTAATTGCTTTTGTCATTTATTGCCCTTTAAAAAAGGGCGATGAATGATTAAAATACTTAAATTGACATCTAACCTGTAATTTGACTTTGATTTTTAATATTAAATGACTTGAATAAGTGTTTAATTATATCATTATTCTTATTTTTACTTATCTAATTAAAAAAAGGAAGGTTTATTAAAGTACCTTGAGTTTGAGCTGGAGTTTAGTTAAAGTTAAAGTTTCAAAAAAAAAAAATACATGTAAGATTATGAAAGGTATTGTTTAGGTTTGATTAAGGTTTTAAAGAAGAAGAAAAACTGAAACTTGATTCAGTCGCACTAATAAAACCATCCCAAGTTTTACTAATAATTGAATTTATTCGATTTTTATTGAATTGATTTAGTGTGGTCAGTTTTATTTGATTTTGCTTACCATTGTCTTGTAATATGTATTATTGATTCTAAAATAAAATTGGATGAATCTTACTGCATGTCAATTGTCAACCCACCAGATAAATAAGCTTATCAAATTGTCCAAATTTTTAACTTTGGAGTTTGTTTTGTTACTTTTCCTTTTCTAAATCTAATAAAGCCTTACTTGTCGGCTAAAAGGGATATGAAGAGCATAAAAAAAATAAAAAGATAAAAACTCGAGAAAACATAAACACCTTATCCCTTTCATTTCACTTGTCATTTCTTACTTCATGAAGGATTAGATTTAAAATAATAATAATATTAATAAAGGAGACACCTGAAAAGTTTCAATCTAATAAATTAAAAAAAAATAAAAAAGTATCAGTGATAATTTAACCATATAATTTTTAAAGAAATCAATTTTTAATATAATTGATAATTAATTTTACTATGTTAATTATCAAGTTTTTAACTGCCATTTGTCTCTTAACGTGTACTCATAATTTACCAATTAGTAGTCAAAGTGATATTTCTTGTAGTCAACATTTGTTGATTAAAGGTATATCACATTTCACTTTTTTGATTCTTTCTCTACAATACTCTATCACATGCAGATCTTTTTAATTTTTCGCCAATTCATATGCTACATATCACGTGGATACTACGACTAATGAATTCATGTCAAATTAAGATAATTAAAAAAAATGATTAAAATACGAAAGAAAGAAACTGAGCATAACCTTGAAAACGACACTTGAAGAGTTAAGATTTATGGAATCATGAATTTAATATTTTACAAAATAATTTAAAATTACAGAAATCAATTATAATTATTTTTTGTTGATTTTACCACTTCATAGTTTCTTTAATATTAGATATATTTTTATTCAAAATTAATATTGTTTATATAATATTATGAGTAATACTAGTGGTAATTTTCTTATATATACACTTAAAAATTTTAGTTTTTTTAAAATTCATTGATCATCAAATTTATAAATTTTAAGTACTTACGTATCGATCAATTTTCTTTTTCTTAACTTTTACATGTAAATATTTAATTGGTGTTCAAAGGGATATTTTTTCTTGTAATCAACATCTCTTCACTAAAGACTAAAGAGATATATCACTTTACACTTTCCCCTCCTTACACGTTGAGCCTATTGAAGATATTTCAATTAATCTTCAGCTTTATCTTTTTTATTCGAGAAAATTACGTTAAGATTGTCACGTCTTCACAACATAATTAAATATTACAAGATTAATTGACAATTGAGTATAACAAAAATTTTCTTTGAAACTCTCTGCCATATTATGCACATAATTTTGCTTCTCACATTCAGATTTTTGTTTCCTTTGAAGTTTGATTTATTTATGCCATTCATAGGTGTTGTTCCTTATAATTTTTACAGATATATTGATAATATGCATGTGTGTTTTTAGTCTTCACATGAAATTAATCAAGATAATGAAAACATAAATATCTAAAATTAACTAATTACTTTTCAAAAAATAAATTATTATATTAGCGACCGTGCTTTTTTCCTGAAAAATTATATACTCTTTCTAAATATAAGAGTTGGTAATAATTAATTCACATAAATTTAAAAAAAATAGTTATATTGTTTAAACAATACTAAATTTGAATTTTTCTAAACAATAAGATAATATTATAGAAGATTAAAGTAAATTGAGGTCTAACATTTATTATCAAATTAAATAAATTAACTAGCTCCTTTATTTAGGAGCGGAAAGAGTAAATATTATTTGTGACTTGTGAGAGAATTTAAATAAACCTCAATAGAAACCTTAACCATAAAACCTAAAAAGCGAGCTTTTCTTTTAATTAAATGAGCAAATTACTCTTTAAATTTTAAATTTAATAGCATCATAGATTCGTTTATTATGTAAATTGTTCAATCAAGTTTTAAAAATAATTATTTAGCCTATATTATTAACAAAAATTAATGTTGATAGTTAGTTAATCAAAAAATGATAAAAAATGTCAAAAATCATACAAAAATGACTAAAAGTTTTTTTGGCCTTTTTCTATAATTTTTTGAGTTAAGTTTGTAATTTTTTGGTCCTTTTTTAATTTTTGAAATTTTTTTATTATTTTATAATTAATTAATGATTAAAGTTAATTTTTATTAACAGTAGAAACTAAATTACACTATTTTCAAAAATTAAGAGAATAATTTGCATAATAAACAAATTCAGAGTTTATGATACTATTTGACTTAAAATTCAAGAACTAACTTGCTCATGTACCTTTTTTTTTTTTTTTTTAAGCAAAAGGGTGCAAGTTGAGCAGCTTAAAAGCTAATGAGATCAAGCCCCCCCCCCCTCTCTATATATATGTGTATACATATACATATACATAACCTTACAAAGGTAACTCAATTCAAATCTATGAGTTAACTCATTATTTAGGCAGGGTTATTGACACGCCTAAATAATGAGTTACCTCATCCATTTTCACCAAACAAAGCTAATAAAGAAAATAATGTTGAATGACTTATGTTAAGAGAGTCAATTATCTTGAGGTTGTTATTTAACGAAGGTGCTTATTATTGTTGTTGTTGTTGTTCCTTTGCTTTGCTTTTCATATCTTCGTGGTCATCATGTTAACTACTTTTCCTCATTCTATCGTTTTGCAAAGACATTGAAAGATTACGGTACTTTTCAATGAGCTTAGGAAATAAAAACAAAAAGCTGTTCTTCATGTTTAATGGGATATTGTGTTTTAATTTCCTTTCTTTTGCTTCCAAATGTTAGGCGAGTTGAAATGGAGGTTTATTCTATATATGAATATATATTATCTATTAAAATTATTCTGTTGAGATTTAAGAAATATTTTATATTCATTAAATATTATTAGAATATTCATTAGTTATTCTTATACTCAGCTATATATTGCACATCTTGAATATAAAAAAAGAATGATGTTTTTTTTAATCTCTTTTATTTTTCTTTTGACTTCTTTCGTAGCATCTATTAAGAGAATAAATATTTCTCTTAACAAGGCACACTACAAGAATATATAGTTAAAATTTGGATTAATAAAATCTTATTTTTGCCAATTTTTTTAATTCAACTCAATTGAAACCTAAATTGGTCGTTGCTGTCAAATGTAAAATAGTTTGTCAATAACAAAAAATTTAGGCATAAGTGCCTTTACATTTATGAAAATCCGAAGCTATCAAAATAAATGAAACTTATAGGTTGGTTCATTTAATCTATTAATTAGTGAGTAGATTTAAAACTTCACCTCAAAAATCTTTTGCAAAAAAAAAAAAAACAATCAAACAAATTAACCTCACTTGACTTAACTTATCCCATAAGTGTACTAAAAAATTAGATTAGTTATTGAACTGATTAAAACACTAATTTAAGAGTTAACTATCATAATTGTAATTGAACTATGATAAGACCAATCATGAGTAAAGTATTTTATTGAATCAATTAATTGTTTATCAATTCAACTTATCAAATTAACCCAGTTTTGAATATTATTTATATAAGTTGGATGGAATACTGACTTGTGTAATCCTTTACAACTTATTTTCTTTTAAAAAATATAACCTCAAATATAACAATTCTCTCTCACATTGTTACACACACACACACATAGCCAGTAATATGAATTGAGCCAACAAAAAATTAATGGATTAGGTTGTAGAAAATAAGTAAGATATTAAAAAAATTAGATTAGTTATTGAACCAATTATAATACTAATTTAAAAGTTAACTATCATGATCATAATTGAATTGTGGTCACTAGTACAGACAAGCTAGTCTACAGTGGTCTTATTTACACTGGCTCTACAAGTGGTGTAGATAAAATTAATGTAAATATCATAACATTATCTATATTAGTTATTTAACTGATGTAGTTATTGAATATTCTACATTGATTATCAACTTGATGTAGATAACTAATGAGGAAATTATGTTTGTTTGTTTTTTTTTAAAGATTAGACTATCTACATAGGTTACTAATTAGTAATCGATGTATATATCAATATCATCTACACCAGGTTATATTCATAATTAGTGTAGATGCATTCATAACCAATGTAGATAGTTTATTTAAAAAAAATATTTTTTTTCTTTTTAATTTTCCCCCAATCATAATAGGCTACAATTAAAAACCTACACTAATCAAATATCTAACAGCCAGACAATCAGGCAAAATCCAATATAATTAAATATCGTTCAAATCAAATGAATTTAAAAAGATGTATGATATAAGATCGATCATGAACAAAATATTTTATTAAATCGATTAATACTTTATCAATCCAACCTACCAGATTAACCTAGTTTTTAATCCTATTTCTATAAGTTGGATGAAATAATGACCCATGTAATCCATTATAACTTATTTTCTTTTAAAAAAATAACCTCAAATATGACAATTCTCTCTCACGTTGTTACACAAATATATACATACACAGACATATATAAAGTCACATTAGATATACAATTGGGAAGAGTATATCCCAAGGATATACTCATAAAATTCCTCTGTTTCGCTAATAACATCACAAGTGGCCAGTTTCAGTTAAATCTAATTTGACCTTGACTCAACAATTTACTTTTTTTTTTGGCCAAATATAATTCACAAAATTAAATACATAATGCTTGGAAAACTTTTGTACCCCCCGCAATAAAGTCCAATGTGAACTCAAGCTGTACATTTAAATTGCCTTAAAGTTGGCACTTTTGACCCAAGTGCGAATGTGCATTACTTGCGCCGTTTTTATTTTTATTAGATAAATTAATATTTTATTAATATTTGAGAGAAAAAATAAAAATATTTCAAGTGTGGAATGGAGTCCATGTGAGGTAACCATAATTTATGTCTCATCCCAATTTTGTCACAATATAGATGCACGAAATTTTTAATAATATTCAGGTCCAAACTCAACATTAAAAAAATAAAAAATAATAATTTTTAATCCTTAAACAGTTCTTTTAATTATTAATTTAGTTTATAAACTTTCACTCAAAACACCCCCAATCCTTATAGCTTATAGAATTTAAAAATTATAGAAATTGAGTTATAAAACTATAAGGACTAAATTTTAAAGAAACAAACTATAGAAATCAAGTTGGTTCAAGTTAAATGTCAAGTACTAAGTCAATAATTAAGAAAAAATTTAACGACAAAAAATATATTTTCTTTAAAAATAAATATTTTAAAATAAATAATTCAATTATATATAGTAATTCTATATTTAATATCTATAATATATGTATAAATAGATTATTTTATAAATCACTCTTTAACTTTAATTACTCTGATTGTATTTCATAAAGTCAACAACTCTGTGCCACAAGTCTTATTATTTAATTGGTAGTAATTAGTATTGTGTGTGAATGTAATATTCCTTCTGTCTTAAATTATAAGAGTCTTTTAAAAAAAAATTTTATTTTAAAATATAAGATACTTTAAGTAAATTAAAGTTTTATTAAATACATCATTTTTAATATTATCTTTTCTCTTTATATAATTAATTTTCATTCATTCTCTTTTTAATATATTAAATTATAGGCATTTTTAAAAATTTATATTTTTTTAAAAAAATAAAATTGTTAAATATATTTAATAAGATTTATTGATATATAAAATTTTGTTTAAAAATATTTTATAATTTAAGAGAGAGAGAGAAAGAGAGAGAGAGAGAGAGTATTAACAATTGACAACTTGGTTTTAAGTTTAACAACCATAATATAGTAGAAAACGTGGCTTTACCTCATGCCGCCTCAGTCATCAAATCAAAGTAAGCATCAAACCAGTGACTCTCAACGCACTGACATGAGCTGAGTTTTGCTAAGCATCGTACAAGTGGACTTTTCCATTATTGGCTCACGAGCTGACCAATGAACCTAAACCAATTCAGCCCAACAACAGTGTCCACCTACATTTCATTGAAGGAAATTAATCAATCAATGACTACAGCCAATGAGATTGTGTGTTTAAATTTCATTGTCAACCTAAAAATTTTATTAATAAACAATTTGTAGGTAATTCTGTAAATACTCTTTAAATATATGAAGGTGTGCATTTATCTTAATGAGTTTTTAGGAGGTAACTTATCTGAATTTTTTTTGTATAAAAAATGAAATTAATCATCACCAATAAGTGTTGATTATAACAAAAGAGAGAAATTAAAATTTAAATCTCGTTGGAAGAAATGCCATCAGTGTTTTGGACAAGATTACCTATAATTTTAATGGGTTTTTTGAAACTCAACCTTCCTTCTTTTTTTTTTTATTCAAAAAAAGAGGGAAATCTACAGTTAGAATTTACTTTCTGATTGGAGAAGGACTTTATGCATACATTTCATTTGTCTTCTTCAAGTGCATGAATGATCAAAGGGTGATGTATCAGAGCTAAGAATCTAAGAAGTTTCATCTTATAAACAAGTACCAATAAGGAAGACGACACTGAAATTTCTTCTGGAAAAGGAAAACCAATATCATTCATCATTACTGTCATTCACATGTACAAAAACCAAAAACAAGAATTAAAATCAACATTCAAAAAACAGAAAGCTCTGAAACCCCAGGCCAACACAATAATTAATAACACCTATTTATTATTATACTTTTAATACCTAAAATTAAAATTTGTCTCTAATTTCAAACAACCTTCATCACCATCTTCATCAACCTGCACTTCCAATTCCTTCATCATCTGGATTTTTTTTCCTTCCTTCTTCTTCTTCTTCTTCAATTCAGCCTTTGATGCAGATCCTTCATTTGAGAAGAAAATTCAGTGACAAGTTGAAGTTTAATTACCTTGCTAACTAGCATATATATATATATATATAATATTCACAGTGATTCATTGTGCCATGAAAGAACAAGATCTTGAAGCCCAGATTTCCAGTTTCCCCAGTGAAGCTCATCAAACTCAAAACCACCATTGATCACTTTCACAGTGACCATCAACAACTCAGTCACGATCTCAAAAACCTCAACCACAAGAATCACCTTGCCTTTCCCTAACCCAATAGCTCCATTTTTGCCTATCTCGACCTTGAACCCTAAAATTCCTCCTAATTCCTTCACTTTCTCTTCTACTACTTGTAACGAAGCATTCGATGTGAATCTCTTTTCTCTCCTGTAGTTGGTACCCGACGCCGTTTCGAACAAACCCGTCAGGTCCAGACCTGACGACATGGAGATTATGTCGAACGCGTTGACGCCAGAACCCATCCTTTCGAGCTTCTGGTAAGATTTCGCCGTCGGACCCGACTCGAATAAGCTCTCGTCGGGTTGGGGCTTGAGCGATTTCTTGAACCACGAATTTTGGTATAGAGATTCTAGGCTCATCCGGTTTTTCGGGTTCGGGTCGAGAAGTCGGTTAATCACGAACCGCGCCGGCTTGGATATCCACTCCGGGAACTGGTAATCGCGCCGGCTGATCTTCTTGCACATCTCAGGGATATTTGCGTCGGAGAAGGGGAGATAGCCAGCGAGGAGGACGTAGAGTATCAGCCCGCACGACCACGCGTCGGCTTTCGAGCCGTCGTATCCGCGCCGGAAGAGGATCTCAGGCGCCGTGTAAGCCGGCGTGCCGCAAGCCGTTTGGAGCAACCCGTTCTTGAGCTGTTCGGGCAAGGCGGAGAGTCCGAAATCCGAGACCTTTAGATTCCCTTCGTGGTCCAAGAGAAGATTCTGTGGCTTCACATCACGGTGTGCGACGCCGTTTTTGTGGCAGAAACACAAGGCAGAGACCAATTGCTGAAAGTAACGCCGCGCCACCGGCTCTGTCATCCGGCCTTTACGCGAGATTTTCGAGAATAACTCCCCGCCGGCAGCGAACTCCACTATCAGGTAGATCTTCGTCTTCGTAGCCAAGACCTCATGGATTTTGAGAATATGAGGATGGTCATGAAGGCGTCGCATGGCATCAACCTCACGGACAATCCGAGGCTCCATGGATGCATCGGTTTTTGACTTGTCAATAATCTTCACGGCGACAATGGAGCCGTCGATTAAGGATCGAGCTTGGTAGACCTTGGCGAAACTGCCACGACCTAGAAGACGAATCAATTGATATTTTCCGAGAATGGTGACGGCGGAAGAGGGTAAAGGTGAGGCCGGAGGTGACGGAAATCGCGGCGGTGAAGGGACGCCTGGTTCCATGTCTGAGTGGGTTGACGAGAGAAGGGAGAGCAAAAAGGAAGGAACAACCCACAGAGTGTCACGGGACAGAAGGCTGTGAGCGTTGAGAGTCGAGTTTATATAGCGACTTCTTGTAGCACACAGGGACCAGTTGGCTTCCACTTGAATTTTGTTAAAAGCGAGTGGTTTTCATTCTGCCTTACGAAATCCCTAAATTATCCTCGTCTTTTCTTTTTATCCCCTATGAGTCCTCTCCCAGCTCATGATGAATTCATCACTTCCGGAATTGTCCTTGGTCTTCTATCTATAATCTCCCATTAAAATTTACTCCGTTAAAAAAAATTTTTTAAAACATTTAATATTAAAAAAATATAAGACATTTTTAATATTTTAAAATATAATTATTATTTTTTTAAAGAACTCCTATTAATAATAATTTTATATTTATTATAGGGTATTTAATAGGAGTAAATATAAAAAGATATGGTTAGTTTGAAAGTAGGTAACTACTTTATTGAGATGTGAGATTTGATTAAAAATATCTCACATTTTTTGATAGAAGAAATATTAAATAAATATATATTTGGATTTTTTGCAACATAGTTAAATATTAAAGTTAAATTACATTTCTTTTTTCACATCACGGCCCTAAACTAATGCCTACAGTTCGCGGCTATTTTTACCAACTAAATTAGTATCATGGGGCAAATTATACTATTTCTTAAAAATTGTCAAAATTATATTATTTTATTTTAAGAATATGTAAAAAAATGTTATAAAATTAAGAAACAACTTACACATATATTTTTAAATTTTTATTAAGATGTCTGGTTTCACATGCATTTAAATCATGAATCGTGACCGGTATACTCCCTTTATTCGAAAATATAAGATATTTTTAATGAAATCCTACCTTTCAATAAAGTAATTATCTACTTTTTAACTAATCCTATTTTTTTATAATTACCCCCTATTAAATACCCTACAATAAATATAAAATTATTATCAATAGGGATACTTTTAAAAAAATAATAATTATACCTCAAAAGACTAAAAATATTTTATATTTTTTAATGGAGGAAGAAACTCATTTCATATCTTGTGTTAATATACATTGATATTGATTATACAAATCTTTACTTTATTTTTATTAAATATTTAGATTAGATTATATTATATTATATATATTTTTTGAAATTTTTGATTTATGTGGAATTTGAACAATTTAAAAAATCAATTGCACTATGTCTCATTAAGAAATTAGAAAACTATACTGTCATGCTCAATACATTTTAAATATTTTGTCTCTTTTGATATAATTTTGTTCTTAGATTTTACCATGCGGGTCAATCTCTACTAGCATGCTCCTTTTCCAGCTGGCACTAGACATTCCAAAATATCAAAGCGGTTTAAACCGAGTCAAATGATCAAATCACGCTTTATATATTTTCCATAAATTTCAGCCTTTTAAATTTTAATTAAATTATTTCTGATTTATTTAATAAATGTTTCTACTAAAAAATAAGACCTAAAATAAAAATATTTTCTGAATGACAAAAATGAAAATACTTGAATTTTTTTTAAGAAAATAGAACTGTTTAAATTAAAATAAACAATACAAATATATTAAAAATAATATTCTCTCTATTCTAAATTATAAGATAATTTGAAACAAGATAAGGCATATCAATAAATTTTAATAAAAATACTTTAAAAATTTACTTTTTAAAATAAAAATATAAAATTTTAAAAATATCTTTTATTTTATATAACTTTAAATCTACATACTTAATCATTAAATTACAATTATTTCATTTCTCTTTGTAAATGAAGGATAATATTGAAAATGTATAGTCAATTAAACCTCATATTTCATCAAATTGTCTTATATTTTGAGACAATAAAATATCTTTAAAGTTATCTTATGCCATCTACTTCTTAAATTATAACATACTTTTGGAGAGAATCAGCATTACAAAATATAAGGCGCTTTGAGAAGAGCAAGATTTTATTAAATAGACTTATTTTAATATCATTCTTTCTCGCCCTATTTAATTTTCATCCCCTCTCTTTTCAATATATTAAATAATGAGTATTTTTAAAAGTTTATATTTTTTAAAAAAAATTATTAAATATATTTAATAAGATTTATTGATATGTAAGATTTTAATCAAAATTATTTTATGATTTAAAAGGGAGGAAGTAATTTTGAATGTAGGATCTCGAATTATTTAGACTTACTGTCTAAATATGCAATTAGTTCAATCGTACACTGATATTAGTTTTTTTTTTAATATGGTTACAAAATTTTTGCTTATAGTTTTAACTTTTAACCTTTTTCATTGGGAAAAAACTTTTTAGTAATTTCTTTTGTTTTAGCCAACTAACGTGGGGATCTTATAGGTGAATCATCGGACTTTAATTAGGTTAAAATGTCCAAAACATGTATAGTATCTTATAAACATTTCTTGTCAGTGACTACGTTAACAAGAAGAATCTAAATTTGGAATATTCTCCTTTTTTTTTTTTAATAGAAATGAATGTAAATAGTTGTAACCACTCAAACTTTTTTTGTATGCCAACCAAAACTAATTGTACGTTAATTTGCACTTGAGAGGGAACAAAAAACGCATAAGGACGTTTTGGAGGCATGGTTCATGCTACTAATAAGAAATGGTGGCTTTATAAATAATACTCCCTTTTATTATATTTTTAAATCATTTCCAACATACATATTTTACTCAAATAATTGAAAAGTTTAATACTCCATTCGTTTGAAAATGTAAGGTATTTTTTGAGGAGTTAGATGTTAAAAAATGTAAGACATTTTTAGTCTTTCGAAATGTAATCATTGCTTTTTTTTTCAAAAATAGCCCTATTAATAATAATGACTTTATATTTATTATAAGATATTTAATAAAGATAAATATAAAAAGATATGGTTCATTTGAAAGTAGATAACTACTTTATTAGGAGGTAAGATTCGATTAAAATTTAAAAATGCTTTTTACTTTTTAACGGAAGGAGTATTAATTAATTTTATTCAAAATTTTATAAATTTTTAACTTTATCCGTATTTATAAAGAATATTAAGAAGTGTAGGAAAATTTTTAAATTATATACACCCACATTTAATGGGGATAATAGAAAAACTTGTGATAAAAAATTAATAACATGCATGTTTTAAAATTGGAAGGGAAAAAAAAAAAACATCTTTCTATCTTACTATGCCCAATGAATTGGATTGGCGGGAGCACCATATAAGGAGAGGGGTAAGTTTGAGTTCCTCCTATTTACCATTCACATAAAGTGATTTTCTATTTTGTTTGATATTTACTAAATCTCAATTAATTGCAGTACTTCATATTAAATACTTATATGAATAAAAAAATAAATTTGTAGAATAAAAAATTGAGATATGAATGATGCAATATATAACATATATGAATAGGACAGGAGCGTAATTTATGGTAACATTTATATTTTACATTGAAATGTGGATTATTCACTTCTTAGCCTAGAAATACCTGTATCATTTACTATATATTTTATTAAATACTGTCTCTAATTGTAAGACATTTTGGAAAAGATTTGGTGTTTCAAAATACAAGACATTTTAACAAAAATAAAATTTTATTAGTGATATTTTTCAAATATTAATGATTCTTTTTAATACTATTTTTTTATAAATAGAATACTAAATGAATGGTATTTTTATATTTTTATTTTGAAACAATAAAATTGTAAAATATTTTTAATAAGTTTTATTGATACATGTAATTCTATTTAAAAATATCTTATAATTTAATATGTTAATGATAAAAAATATGACAATGTTAAATATTAATATCGTTTTTATTTTCATATATTAAAAATAAATACCGTTGGGTTGATCAGAAAGAAAGAGAGACAAGTACAGCTAGAAAAGAAAAGTGACCAAAAAAAAAAAAAACAAGGAAGCACTAGTAATATTGTAATAATGTAATATAAAGAAGAGTTAAATATTGAAGATATTTTTTTTTTATATAAATTAAGCGTATCCGAGGGAAATCCCCATGCAAGTTGGCCATTAAAAAAAGATTCACAAAGCAAATTCAAAACAAATAAAAAATACCAAAAGTGGACAAAAACCACTAAAGCAAAAGCACCATATACTTATAATAATGTATAGTTAATCAATTTTATGATCTATCAAACAATAATAATCAATAACAACATGAGTAATAGAATAAATTTGGTTAAAAAAATATAGCACTTGTTTGGTTTTGTTTTCTGTTTTTATTTTCTCAAAACAATTATATATAATTTGGATGAAAAATAAATAAATGTATTTTTTATTAAAATTTAAAATATAAATTATAAATTTATCATAATAAAATTGCTGAGAGCTAAATTTATAAATTTATGAACTTTCACATTTTAAAATTTATTTTAAATTAATTAATTTTTTTTAAAACTTATCTGCGAGTCTCTCAAATAAATACTCTCTCTCCTATGAGAATATAGTGTTTTTTTTAATTATTTTTTATCACGAGGTAAATTACCCCCAGGTCTCTGCCGCACCCCGGAGAAAAAAAAATGGCGTTGGTCTCCTCCTTTGAGTCTTTGACCATTGAACTTTGGAGGATAATTTAGTAATTGTATTCTTATTTTTAAAAAGAAAAGAAAATGAAAAGAAAGAAACACTTTAATTCATTGGCTTCATGTGGAGACATCGCCAAATTTTTAAACAATAATATCTCTCGACACCTTCCTCGTCACACTACCTATTTCTTACCGTTGGTCAGGTCAGGGAGGTCAGCTTTGATTTTGCTTTTTTGTTATTTTTCTGGGAAGCTGCTTTATATTAACACCTAAAATTATTTGAAATATATAATTATGAATTTTCTAATTTCGGTGACTGACCTCCAACCTCAACAGACCATCCCGCAAGCGCGTGACAATCTGGAATCAGAACATACACAATCATGTATTGTTCAGGGCCAGTGATTATTATTAATTAATTAATAATTAACAAATACTCTGATTAATAATATAATACAAAAGTGCTACTTGATGCTTTTATAATCTACTATTTCGAGCTTTTAATATAAGGCTGG